TCAAGAAAGAATTCAATTGAACATTAACTGTACTGGAGAACGCAATTATCACACTAGACTTTTAGACAACGTGATGAAATGAAGATTCAGAGGCAGCATGCCCCTCCTCCGTCCCTCTGAATAAGTCTTGCCTTTTTTTGGGGCCGGGTGGGAAGGCGATGAGGAAAGTCCTAGAATCCCTTAAAATAATCACGAATTTCCATTTATTCTACTCTGATCGGTGCTTGGTCACTCTCTCTAAAACCCAAAATCCCAGAATAATCCTGACAAATCACTTGAATGATGGCCAATCCCTGCAGTTAAACACATTCACACACAAACACAATTTGAAATCCAAAATGCATTTGGTTCACTAATCGTTTTATGTTCCAATCCGCTGTTTCACCTAAAACATGTGACAAGTGAACAGCAAAGAGAAAAGTTTCATTGCTCTCACAAAATTTAATGAAGTGAGGAGAATGCTTCTCAGGGAGAATGCCCACAGTCCAACTCCACCTTCTTGTTTTTGCAAGGATGTAAAGCAGGCACTCATTACTATATTAAGTCTTCAAAACTATAATTTCTATGCACAGGTTATTCTCAGATCTCAAAGTTTATATCAAGTCTTCTTAAGTGATAGTGGGGTACAGTGCAAAAGGTTTCTGAGCCAGCACACCTGGGATCAAGTTTTGTTTCTGTCACTTTTTTTATGACCATGCACTGAATTTCTTTTGTGCCTCATTTAACTTATGAAAGGGGCATGCTTCTGTTTGCGTTACAGGGGTCTTGTAAGAATTATGCGTAATGATTCACATGAAAGCACATGGTAAACTGAAACAAAATACCTTTATGTAATTGCCAGTAATTATTATTACACCAGATTCCTACCCGCTTAAGACTACATTTTTATTTTCTTTGATCAGAATAGGCCAGGTAAATGGACCAAAGTGGGTGGCAACCTTGGGGCAGGTGGTCCCAAGGAGCAGCCGCAGTCCAGCCTCAGGAGGGAAGATAGCCTGATTGGGGGGTGGCAGTGTGTGTAGGAGGCCTTAGAAGCTCTGTGAAGTTGATCTGCCATGACTTGAATCTACACATGAAGACTCCACTTTAAAACAGGGCATTTTAAATAAACTTCTATTTTTTACTTCAATACACTGTTTAAGTCTTAAAATCTTGAAAATCTCAGTTAACTGGAATGAAATGAAAGGCGTGGCAGATAAAGCAAAGTGAGACAAAAAGATGACTCTTACGACCATCAAGAGATGAGGCATAGAGCTTGGGCAGACATAAATACAAAAATTATTAACATTAACAAAAAGCAGTAGGAAAGTGGAAATATTATAATGAAAGAAAAGGAAACCGATATCAATGCTAGCTTTAGAGATGAAATAGGACTGGAAAACTCTGTGACAGCCAGAGAGTGACGCTAAAATAACAAAACAAGTCACAAAGCACAATATACAATACTAACGAAATACATCCTTTAATGAAACACAAAGTGGCTTTTCTCTACTGCTTGAAACTTTAGCAGGTAGAAAAGTGAGAATGTTTCAAGAGATTTCTAAAAGGTTGCTTACAGTACTGGCAAAAAGCGAATATTCAAAATGCCACATTTAAGCATAAGCACATTTTCAAAAACAGACTACTGTAGGTGACATTTAAAATACCGCCTCCCAAATAACCAGCCAGCCAGGGACTTGTAGAGGACCCGAAGTGTGTCATGCGCATAAACGATCCCGAGAGTGGGCCGTGGGCACCACGCAAACTTTCTCTTGTGGCGAGCCCCCAGAACAAAGCGCCTATCTCACTGGGGATAAGGAGATCATCGCGACCCTGGAATGGGATAGACTCGGCTAAAGCTCCCCTCCCCAGCTACGGCGTCCCACCCTGCCCCACACTCTTCTCCCAGGTCAGGTCCGCCACTGCAAGTCTAGCCCCGGCATCCCCAAGGCAGCCCCTTAGGGTCCCAGCAGCCCTAGCTCTGTCTCGCAGGCCGCCGCCCCCAACCCGGAGCTTCATTCATTGACCCTGTGGAGGGGCAAGACCCAGCCAGGTGATGGGTGTGCACGGCTCGAGGCGGGGACCCCGGAGCAGGTGCTTACTCTGCGTGTCCGTTAAGGAGATCATGGCTGCAGTGTTGGGGACAGCGGCGAGAGCACCTCGGAAAGCCCAGGGTGGGAAGCTGAGTCGGGAGAAATGAAGCCGGGAAACAGCCCAGGCGAGAGCCGCCACGTCTTCCGGAAACACGCAGCCACCCTCACTGCCGCTTTAAGACCTCTTCCTATTGGCGAAACCTGCTTCCAATCTCAACCAATAAATCGTAATGTTGTTCAGTGACGCTCATGGTGACCACACCCCTTGACCAATTAGAGAAGGGTGTTATTTGTGATTGGCTGAACGGACCGACCCGGAAGGGTGGATGCTCTCAGCTGGGTGGCGGGAAGATTTTACTCCGGAGCAGAGGAAAGATCGGCTTGAGGCCTGGGTTCTTTGAAGTCGGAGATCCGAGAGTCGGAGATCGGAGAGTCGGACACAGGAGAGTCGGACACCGGAGAGTCAGACTGGGCTCCTCAGTGGGGAGAGGCTCTGGGATAACTACTGTTACAGCTTTGAAGGGTCAAGGGTGTGCATTTCTTGTTTGATCCTTCCCTTTCCTGCTGGAGGGCGAGGCCGGTCTGTAGCGGGTCACTTCCTTTCGCCCACACATTGGCGGAGGAGAAACCGGAACGTTAATCACTGCTCTGCTCCGAGAACTCGGGCCTTTAGGGGCACGTTCGCCTGCTGACGGGTCTTTTGATCTCCCCACTCTTTTCCATGCAGGAGGCTTGGCCACCGAAGCCTGTTTATTAGCAGCTGCCATTTGTTGGTAAATACTACTGGGGATGCTTCTTCCATCCACTGCTTCACAGCAGCGGAAGGAAGGGCGTTATTAATATTCAATTACTATTGCCTCTAAATGCAGGTGGCGGGGAGAGAGAGGATTTAGCCTATAGTACCTCAGTGTCGTTTCCTCCAACATTGATGACTGGCTGTCACCCTGTAACATTTTTCTTGTGGATGCCTAGCTTATACTTCTGAGTGACAGATCCGCTGTAGTTCAATTTCTGGATACATTTTATGTTGAGATATCTTTTGCTAACAAATCACATCATTTTGGGAAGGAGCAGTCTTTTAACGGCATAATCAAAGGAGTAATTTAAAATCGTGGGGGGAAATTGGATATATAGACTGTGTCTTTTCATAAGGGTAGAAACAGCTCCTGCTGCCTTAGCAAACCTGAGCCCTCACTATATCAAGGCATTTTGCTGGGCTGTGCGGATACAAAGGTGAAGAGACTGAACCCCAGCCCTGCTAAAGGACCTTACAGTCTATGGAAGGAATGTTACATTTTCGTTACGTGAAGAGATGTTTGTATAAAGAATTAGAAGTCCTTGGTTTACTCTCCTATTTAGCCTTCTTTTAATGGTGTGGTGATTCCACATTCTTTAGCAAGGCAAAAAAGAGTCAGCCTATCTTTCCAGCCTAGTGGAGGCTTCAGAATTCTGTGTAGAAAGGGTATAAGGTCAGCAGTCTAAGGATAGGTGTTGCAGAAGTGACTTTTGGAGAGCATCTTAGTTTTAGAAAGTGTCCATATTAGAGCGATAGAAGAGGTGTTTTTAGGATTATGGGGAATTTAAAGTTTCCACTCTCAAGCCCCATTTTCCACTTGTCCATATGCATGCTTAGGTTTTAGTCATTCATAGATATTTAGAGTTCATTAATACAAACCATTTTCCCCTCCCCCCACTTCTAACCTTCTTGTGTTCTCCCCTTTTAAAAATCTAGCTTTATAGAATACCAATTTCTCTTTTAAGATTGAACTTATATTGTAATTTTATTGAGCAAGTGCTCAATAAAATGTTAGATGATTAATTTTATTATTTATGTTGATGTATTTTGCTTAATCTGGTACACTTGAATCTATCCAATTTATTTATAAGATTGCAGTCCTCCCAGTTTTACAAGTAGGGAAAGAAGCTTAGAGGAACAGCATGTGCAACTTTGTGTAACATAGTAATTTAGTCACATAGCCATTGGTGCTCGAACTGTTGAATATTTGCTGTTTTTTGTTACATCACTTTATATCGGGTGGATGTTTGCTAAGTGTTATTGCTACTGTATTTGTCATGTATGCGTTTATGTGACTTTGGACACTTCTCTTAAATCTAGAGTTAGTTGTTCTGAGTCTTGTGGGTTATTAAGCTGAAATATAGAGAGTTTTCCATAAAAAATTAGTGTTGAAAGAACCATGTGGTTCTTATTTGAAAGGTCACTGCAGTATATAATTTACTTTCTAACATTTTTCATGCTTAGGAATGACAGATTACTGTTGAGTGAACATCATTAATAGTACTGTTTTTAAAAACTTGTTGTCACTGTGTGCTTTTATTTTTAGAAAGAAATTTGGATTATTTTAGAAACAAATTTGGAAAGAAAAAGAATGGCGTCCGTTTCAGGTTAGTAGCAATGATTACATTTTCTTGTTTCTTCTGTTCTATATCTATTTGTATGATATTTGAAAAAAATGTTTGTTTTAAAAATTCTGATTATAGAAATGATTTTCTTCAGCTTTTTTATTTAGGTAAAATATATATTACAAACTTTGCCATGTTAACTATTATTAAGTGAATAATTCATTGGCATTAAATGCATTTAGATTGTTGGGCAACCATCAACACTATCCATCTCCAGGGTATTTTCATTTATGCAAACTAAAATTCTATACTCATTAATTCATAGCTTTCCATTACTTCTCTTCTCCTAATCCCTCATAGCCGCTATTCTACTTTCTGTTTCTTGACTATTTTAGGTACCTCATAGAAATGGAATCATACAACATTTGTCCTTTTGTGTCTAATTTTTACCTTATTTGTATCCAAATGAAGGCAATAGCAGAATCATTCTTTTGCCTATTTCTCTTACAGCTGAGTATACACTGACTCCTTCCCCAAAAGAGCAGGTACAAATTATCTTTATTCGTCTTTGGGTGATGCTCATTTCTCTTCTTGCTGAATCATGTCCTCCTTGGTAATACTGTAATGTATCGGAGAAGGACCAAATAAAAGGAAAAACCCCAACTTGGTTTATATACAAATGTTAAAAAGGAAGAATGGCTTACAGCTATTAGAGTTCTTGTTTTTCAATGGGTCCTGTGGTCATAGCTTGTACTTTACAACTGCCTTCTTCAACTCCCCATTCCATATTCCTTGGTTCTCCGTTGGTAACGGGTCTTTGCTTGGTGGGGACTACTTGCCTTAGTAGTTTCCTATATTTGGTTATTATAGTTTTTAATTAATTTTAATTACAAGATAAGGGAATACTGAGAGGTGCCTTAGAGGATCTTCTGCTTTCCAGACATACTCCTCCTTATCCGTATAGTGTGGCAGCTGTCTGATTTCCCCTTAGTAGTCAGGATCACTTACCCCAGCCAGTACAGTAATCCCCTTCTTTGCCTGTTCATTTGTTGGCATGAGGAACCCAAAGTGGCCAAGTAGCAGTCAACTTCCAGTTTAATGGAACTACTGTATTTTCCCCTGGTACAAGCATTTCTGTCTTGGTAACTAAGACCTCTAGGCCAGCAAGAGTCCGATGTTTCAACTATGGGAAGCAAAAATTTCACTAGTGAATCACTAAGGGTAAGGCTCCACTCCCATTTCCACCCCTGATTCCCGTGAATTGTGGCAATGGGAGAAGCAGCACTATGCACTCATGTATAGCATGCCATATCCTGGAGGCTACCAGTCCAGCCTTTAAAGTGCTGATAACCAGCCGGCAGCATAATTGAGTCTGCAAAATGCCACTCCATTATTTCCTCAGGCCAGCTGCTTCAGGGTATTGGGGAACATAGTTAAACCAGTTAATTCCTTAAACATGAGCCTTCTGTTGTGCTTCGTTTGCTATAAATGAGTACTTTGGTCAGAAGTAATTTGGTGGGGAATACGATGACAGTCAGTAGGAATTCCCTGAATTCATGCAGAGTGGACATGATAGAGCACTGCAGGCAGGGATGGTAAATTCATATCCAGAGTAAGCATCTGTATCAGTGAGAACAAAGTGCTGCCTTTCATTATAGATGTTTCCAATGCAGTCACTTTGCCATCAAGCATCTGACTGTCCCCACAGAAAATGGCGCCTCCATTGGAACTCAAGGTTGGTATGAGCTGTTTGCAGGTTGGGCACTTAGCTGTGGATGTAGCCAGATGGGTCTTCGTGAGTGACAATCCATGTTGCAGAAGGCACTTTGTTCTTGATTTCGTTGTGCAAGGACAGGTGTGGTCCATGTCCAGGTCATCTAGTCTACCTGATTAATTATGATTATCTTTTGTGGAGGTTGTTTTCAGTGAGCCTTAACATGGGACTCAAATACCTTCACACTGACCATTCAGAGAGGTCTATACATACATCTCTTTCTCAGACCTCATTGCCACCAGTTTTCCTATTTGCTACCTTCCAGGTTGCTAACCATCCTGCTAATCATTAACCATTGCCTATGATACTGTGGATGTATTCCTCTGGCAAAGTGAATAACTATGTGCACTGCTTACTGCTGACGGGGAGGATTTCCCATCTCCAATGTTTTTCAGGGCCTCTCTGGAGAGACGCTAGAGTGCTTTAGTTGTTCACTTTCAGGTGGTGACAATATATCATGCAGAATCTTTTATAAATTAGGCCTGCATTTTGTTTCTTCCTTAGTTACAGGGGATCCCGCCATGAGGTCATAGGTGCAGGTTGAGGAGGAGGCAAAGGGGAGCATGGTGCATGAGCATTCGGACTTCTTGTTCATGCCTTCACTTAGAACCTGCTCCCTTTGGCATGTACCAGCTCCATTGTGATGATGGAGGTCTGCCTTATGAATTGATGGGTCAGATGACACCTGGTTGATGATAGGCAGCACGGGTCACATAGTCACTTAGTCTCTTGTAAGACCCGGGAGCAACCCAGAAATTGTTTCCAAAAGGGTAAGAGTTCTCTAAACTTTGCTCCAAAATCCTAATCATCTTTGTTGTGACTCATCTGTAGGCCAAAGGTGTCATATAACATCCCCATTCATCACAGACTTACAGCACCATCAAATCTGTTGGGTCATATGGCTCAATGGTAAGAGAAGATTGTATCATGGCATTACCTCTTGTTCGAGGTCCTCCTCAAAACAGGCAAGTTTTGGGGTTACTTGGTAAATTAGGTGTGTCTTGCCTCCCAAATCCAAGTAGTCCATTAGGCTCTGTGCTGCTCTCTTAGTAATAGGAGGGGCCAGATGTCGAAACTTATCCTTCATTTTAGAAGAGATCGGATCGCTCAACATGCCCCATACCCTTTGACTCTCACCAAGGTGAGAAAAATTCAGGCTTCTGAATTTTTATGGGATTTATCTTATATCCTCTGGCAAGAGTCTCTCTTAGCAATTTGTCTGTAGTAGCTGCTACTGCTGCTTCTTGCTCAGCAGGTCAGGCAAGCGTGATATCATCAATGCAGAGAGCGAGTGTAATGTCTAGTGGAATGAAAAGGCAAGCAGGATCCCTGCAGACTAGATTAGGGCTAGAGAGTAGATACAGCTCTGAGGTGGGAGAGTAAGGATACATTGCTGGCTCAGCAAACTGCTTTTACTGTACTATACTGTTTCCCTCTGCTATAATAACAGGTACATGGGTATGGAGAATAAAACATTCAACAGATCAATAGCTGAAGCCAGATGCCAGGGTATGTGTTCTGTCTCATTAATGAAATTACAGCTGGAACAGTGGCTGCTGTTGGAGCCACAACCTTATTAATTTTGGCATACTTCACTCTCAATCTCCAGAATCCATTGGCTTCTGCATACACCACATAGGTGAGCTGAATGCAACGTGGAAGTCGTCATTATCTTTACATCTTTCAAGCCCTTGATGTAGGCAGTATTATTTTTGGTTTGCTGTATTGGGTGGTAAAGGCAGTTTTGCTGGCTTCCACTTGACCTTTCCTATCATGATAATCCTTAATTATGGGCCAGGAGACCAATGTGTGGATTCTGCCACTTGCTGAATATATCTGTTCTCGGTATACATTCTGGAACTGAGGAAATAATCATGTAGCAGATTAGAAGGTCTGCTGTATATCACTAGCAGCCACTGGACTTGAGCCTGCTCCTCCCCCATGCCAATGAGATCACCAGCCTGCCCTTACACTGAGTTTCTTAAATACAGAAAATATGGCTATTGCTTTATTTCTACCTTTTAAATCTCTGGCAACCAAAACTGCATTGATTACCTCACTTAAGTCGAGTTTTTACTCTGACTGGTGGATCACCATGGCATTTTGGTTTTCTAAGAATTAGCATCAGTTCACAGCTAATGTCCAGTAGTTTCTGAGAAGTGATTTCTCTTTTTCTAATGCACAGTTACCCTAATAAACATCTCTAGTGAAGACTAGTAGGAAGATTCATTACATATATTTTTAGTTGTGTGGTAGAGTCCTTCCCCAAGGGGCTCCAACCTCTGCCTTATTCAAGGGCCTCTGGTTCTATAAGTTGGTTCAATTCTGGAAATTGGTCGAAGGATGGTCGCCGTGTTGTGGTGTTTCTGGTTCTGTTTACCAGAATCGGAGCTTTTTATTCTGCATATACAAATCAAGTAATCTATTTCCATTTCAGGGACATCGCAGTCAACTAGCCAATCCAAGATCGTGTGGGTCAAACTATTCTGATTGCTGCCTCAGCTCTGTTGCCCTTCATGGCAACCACATCCACTTTATTTTTGGTCATACATTCAATTGCTGCTGTTCAGCCCCCATACCTTGGAATCCATCATTGTCGTTGAATCAGGTAGTCTACTTGGAAGATGGTATTTCCCACTGTCATTCCTAGCTTACAGAGAACAGCCAGGGGAGCCCCAGCATCCCTGAAGAGCTCCGCTGATGCTGGGGCTCCCCTCATGACTGTATTTTTCACTGTCTTGGTGAAAGGAGACTCTGGATTCTCCTGGGGTACAGCAAGGGAGTGGATGATCAATCCATTTGATCGTCCACTCTGGCACTACTCTCTCTCTAAGCCTCTGAATACCTTCCTTTAGAGCACACCCAGGAAATTCCAGAAGTCCAGCCTCACTGGACGCTACACCTGTTTTATTCCATCCTAGTTTTCTGACATTCATCTTTGAGGCCAGGTTTCAGGCAATGAGCCAAGCAAATTACTACAGCCACTCCTGGCCACTATGTAGAACATTAAATCTAGAATTTCTTAGTGAGCCCATATCAATAAGCTTAGCTTAATTCAACATTGTATTCCATAAACCCTGTTTCAGTACTTTATGATCTATTCCCATATACATTCTCTAGGTTTCTGATGTAGTTTGGATATGTGTCTCCTCCTAATCTCATGTTGAAATGTGACCTCCAGTGTTGGAGGTGGGCCTAGTGGAAGGTGTTTGGGTCATGGAGCAGGATCCCTCATGAATGGCTTGGTGCCCTCCCCATGGTAATGAGTGAGTTCTTGCTCTGTTAGTTCACGCAAGAGCTGGTTGTTTAAAGGAGGCTAGCACTGCCTCCTCTCTCCCTTGCTCCATCTCCCACTGTGTGACATACCTGCCCCCCTTTGTCTTCTGTCATGATTGGAAGCTTCCTGAGGTCCTCACAAGAAGCAGATGCCAGCACTATGCTCCTAGTATAGCCTACAGAACCATAAGCAAAATAAACTTATTTCCTTTTATAAATTACCCAGCCTCGGATATGCCTTTATATCAATGTAAAATGGATGAACACAATTTCTCTTGATATGTTTTGGCAAATGCAGCTCTTTTGGTGCATATCATGTCTTTCAACAGGTTACATCTTTGTGTTTTATCTTCTAGGACTTCCTGGATCTTAAAGCACTGAAAGATGGTAGAGGCTGATTCTTAGGAGGATTAGCAGTCCCATACAAGGCAACGAGGACCATTGTGAGGACTTCAGTTAGGGGGACATTGTTTCAGAAAGGGAAGGCAGGTTAGAAGAGACTTGGCATAATTTAGTGGTTTAAGGTAACCTGCTTCATTGGAGTCTGCCCTTATGTTCCCCTCCAAATTTCAGAGTCTCCTTCCCAGTCAGTGTGCTGACTTTATAGTAAGAGTCCCTGCAAGGTTGATAATTCAGTTTGTACTGAAATTCAGCCATCTGTAGGATTTAGACTTACAGCTCTTTTTACAAAATATTGGCCCTTTACCTATAGGGGATAAGGTTTTTTTAAGGACAGTCATAGAAACTTTGAGGTTCCTTAATGCAGATCCTACATTTTTCCCCTGAGTTCTTTGCACACTTAGAAGCAACCAGTCAACCCCAGTATTCTCACCAAAATGTTTGTAACAGCAAACACTTTGTCACCCACAGCCTTGCCTTCTCTAGTATTTATCTACTGTTGTCTATGGATGATGATTTAAATAACTTTTTTCACTGCATGGTGACATAGAATAGTTATGTTCCCTTTATCAGTGGAAACAGGGTTATTAATGCCTTGAAATCTAATCAGATCAGAAAACCAATTCTATGTGGCCCAGAAGCAATTCAGAGAACCTATTTAGTTTCTGTTCTTGTGGATCAAAATTCTGTATTGGTTAGGGTTCAATCAGGTATGCTGAACCATTATGAGTGCTATAAGTTTTATTATGGGTATTAAACCTTATGTGATCATGGGAGCTGGTTAAGCAGCTATCCCTGAGTCAGCCTCTGGTCCTGAAGTCAGCAGTACCAGCAGTGAGAAAGGAAGATGGGTGTGAAGTGTGGGAGGGTATGGATGAGCTGGAAGCTGCAAGGATAAGTTGAAACTCATGAGGACAAAGTTAGGATGCTGGTGTCCTGCTGAAAAGCTAGTGTTCTTGTCACAGAAGGTTGCTCAGCAACATGACCAAGAAGCCAAAGAAGCTGTGGGCCAAGTTGTTCCACCGAGAAGATTTAGCAGGAGCTGGGGGAGCTGGCTTCTGCCCCACATCAACAAAGTGAGGTAGCAGATTGCTAATATCATGAGTGAGTTGCAGAAGCACCTGGCCTTAGGCCAACCATCCCAATGTAAAACTGGCTGCTGCTTTATTTCTGCCTTCTAAATCTCATGCAGAGTTCACTTGTGGCCAAACTTAACCCAAAGTCATGCAGGGAAGGGTTGATACAAGGGATGATGGCAATTGGTACAATGAAAAGGCACCCCAACATCCTATTTTAAATCACAACCATACATTTTATCTCATGAAGGGACACATTAAACCTGTATACTGATTAATACAGGCAGGTATATGAGAACGCACCAAGAATGTCTTAAGATTTTTCTAGCTTCCATTGATGTGGTATCAAAAATCATCTCACTTTTTGACTTTAATACTTAGATTGATTAGAATCATACACTGAGGTTTCATTATAAATTAGTTACAAAGGAGATAAAATGCCAATTCGAATACTACACTTGATTTCTCTTACTTACTACATCCTCTTGTTTATAATTACCAACTCCTTATCAACCATCAAATGAGCCCAAATAGGAATGCCTTCAATAAAGTACTAGCAAAGTAATTAGGGCATTAGCCTCCTTTTGCTTCAAAGTCTGTTCTACTTAAATGACTTAGGAGATTGTTAGACCACTTCTCTCCAACATAATAAAAAAATTATCATGTATTAAATATTTGACTGTGTACCAGGTACTGTGTCTAGAACTCTTAATATATTATCTCACTAGCTCTTTATAAAAATACGATGAAAGTTAGATATTATCCTCATTTTACAGGAAGGGAAATGGGGATACAGGTAGGCATCTTGCCTGAGGTCACTCAGCAGGTAAAAGGAGGACCTGAGATTTAACTTAGGTCTGTATGACTCAAAAACATGCTCTTAACCATTTTGCTATGCTACTTCAAGTTCATCTGTAATTGATATGGTGGGGAACACCCAACAATCAATCTGGAGACCTAAAGTTGTAATTTACTCTGTCTAATCATTGTATCCCCGCTGCCTCCCATAGCTCTGACTGAGGAACTAGATTCTATAACCAGCGAGCTACATGCAGTAGAAATTCAAATTCAAGAACTAACGGAAAGGCAACAAGAGCTTATTCAGAAAAAAAAAGTCCTAACCAAGAAAATAAAGCAGTGTTTGGAGGATTCTGATGCCGGGGCAAGCAACGAACATGATTCTTCACCTGCCGCTTGGAATAAAGAAGGTTAACTTTTCTTTTTGCTAGTTTTGTTTCTTCTCGTTTTTTAAAAAGCTAGAATGAATTCTTGCTAGGTCAGTGCTTTCCCGTAGGCTTAGAGGTGAAACTGGCCATTTCTCCAGTGGAATGGGAAACTTGCAGGTGGATCATTCTTTCCCTAATGTTCTGTAGTCTTTAAATTAAGCTTTTATTATTCAGACATTGTTTTCCAATTATTGTTCTGGCAACATTGATCATGCTTAGAAAATGAGATACTTATTTCACTTACATTAACAAACAAGAAAAAAAAAATACAAACTCCTTGCCAAAGTTTAGATTATTTTCCTGCCCTAGTGAACAAACCTTTCATGATCCAAGATCTTATCCAACATCATGTTTATCGATTATAAATAGAGTACTATAATATGATAATTAGAATAACTCTAGAAGGAATTGTGGTTTTTGTGGATGTTGCTTTTTAATGATTCACGTCTAAACAAGATATTTTCACCAAAAATTCCAGATAATTGTTCACTTTGTTCTTGATATTTGAGTATTTGATGATGCTGTAAATTCTCTGATCAGCACTGAGACTATTTTTCAAATACCTGATCAAACACCTTCCTCTCTTGTGTGGGTTAATTCTCAACTGGCAAATTTTTACATTCGTTACTTTTTTTTTTTTTTTGAGATAGGGTCTTTTCTGAGATAGGGTCTGGCTTTGTTCCCCAGGCTGGAGTACAGTGGCACAACCACAACTCACTGCAGCCTCAAAGTCCCAGCCTCAAGCAATCCTCCCTCCTCAGCCTCCCTAGTAACTGGGATTACAGGTGCACAGCACCACACCCGGCTACTTTTAAATATTTTTTATAGGGACAGAGTCTTGCTATCGCTTGAGCTCAGACTGGTCTCGAACTCCTGAACTCAAGTAATCCTCCTGCCTTGGCCTCCCAAAACTGTTAGGAGCCTAGGCATGAGCCACCACGCCTACTATGTCTTATAACACATCATTTAATTTGTTTTTGCTTAACTAGTGAGTTAATCTCAAAATTATTATCATAAAAGTTTAATGGTCTATAAGTATTAGAGGTCTTATATATGTTTGTCTCATTCTTATCAAACTTCTATAATAGTATTATATGTTTGTCTGGTTCTTATCTTTCTTTTTCTAGATTTTCCATGGTCTGGTAAAGTTAAAGATGTTCTGCAAAATGTCTTTAAGCTGCAGAAGTTCAGACCACTTCAGCTTGAAACTATTAACGTAACAATGGCTGGAAAGGAGGTATTTCTTGTTATGCCTACAGGAGGTGGAAAGAGCTTATGTTACCAGTTGCCAGCATTATGTTCAGATGGTGTGTACTAATAAAAATTAATTTAGAGTTGAAGAAGTGCTTTGTCATCATACATTTTAAATTATTTTTAAAAATAATTTCTAATCATACATATATAAAAATCAAGTGCATTTTTGTTTGATTTCCTCTATATTAATAGAAATTTAAAGTTTCGCTCAAAGGGGGAATTTACTTATTTTTTATTTTAGTTTCAGCATATATGTGCAAGTTTGTTACATGAGTATATTGTGTGATGCTGAGCTTTGGACTTCTAATGATCCGTCGTCCAAGTAGTCAACACAATACCCGATAGGCAGTTTTTCAACCCTTGCCCTCCTCTCTACCTAAAGGGGGAATTTTTAAAACTTCTGAGATTAATCCTTTTATCTGGTTCCTGAAACATAAATTTAAAAGCATATTGTACTGAACATTCAAAATCCTCTCTTCTAAGCTTTTCAAAACCCTATACTAAATTACTGTTAATCATATTCACCCTATAGCGCTATAGAACACTAGAACAGAAAATAAAAGGGGCAAAAACCCCCAAAAATGTTGTAGGAGAAGCAACTCTAGAAGAAGAATCAGTAGACCTGAATTCTAGTCCCAGATCTTCATTGAGTGTCTGCCACGGTGCTAGGCGCTGGGAGGTACAGTAGTGAGCAAAATGGGCGTGGTCTTAGTTTTCACAGAACTCATAGTGTAGAGTAGCACTTTCTCAGACGTTAGTGTACATAAGAATCACCTGAGGATTTGATTACGTGCAGATTCTGATTTTATGTGAGACCAAAGATCCTGCATTTCTAACAAGTTCTCTGGTGCTACTGATGTTACTGATTGGGGAGTAGCAAGGGGTCAGCAAGCTTTTTCTTGAAAGGGTAGTAAATAATATAGGCTTGTGGTCCATATGGTCTCCTTGGCAGCTCTTCAACCCTGCCATTCTAGCACAAAAGCAGCCACAGGTAACGTGTAAACACATGGGTGTAGCTGTGTTCCATTAAAATAACTTACAAAAATAGGCAACCAGCCCTTACTTTGTTGATCCCTGGTTTAGAAAATACGGGTAATTGCAAGCAATTGCAATAAGAATTTTGGGATATAGGTTTTAATAGGGAATTAAGACTGTACAAAGATCTAGTCTAGGGAAAACTGTTCTGAGGGAGTGGTGTTTAAGCTAAAAGTTAAAGGGTGAGTAGACAGAAGGGACAGGGAAGGAAGGGTGTTCATTCAGAAAAGCAACATGTGTGAGATCCAAAAGCAAGAGAGAACATTCACATTATGATGTATTCAGTAACCTAGAGGAATTCCTATGTGGCAGTCAGTGGTAAGATATGTGGAAAGAGTCTTATTTTTAAAAACTTTTCCTTATTTTAGCAGGAAGCCATTGAAGGGTTTTACACAGGTAAGAGACTCATTATTTCATGGTTTAGAAGGATAATTCTAACAGTTAGATGAATTCCAGATACATCTGGAAGATAGATTCAGTGGGACTTGGTATTTATTGCCTGTGGGGAAAGGAGAAAGAATAGTCAAGAATGATGCTCAAATTTTAGGCTTGGACAAATGGTGAGGTTCTTCACTGAAATGGGGTACACTGGAGAAAGAACTCTTGGGAGTGGAGAGAAGGAAGATGATGAATTTATTTGGGACATGCTGAATTTACGATGCCTTTAAGGCATCCAGATGGAATTGTCCTGAGTAGGAGGATGTTTGTGTCTAAAGCCTGGTGGTAGAGGTCTGAGTTGGAGGTTGTTAGTGTGGAGATGGCACTGAAGCCATTGGAATGAATTACAAAGCAGCATAAGAAGAGAAGAATGCCTAGTACAGAAACCAGAACACCAAGAGTTTAGGGATAAACAGAAAGAGGGCTTGCAGACAAGGCTGAGAAAGAGTAGCAACATGTAGGATAACCACGATTGCATGGTGTTATTAGAAGCCTAGGGAAGGGTGTGTTTGAAGGAGTGGTTAATAGTGATGTCTGTTAGCAAAATGTCAAGTACGATAAGGATTAAGTTTCAATGAGTTTAATGACAAAGGACTCATCTATGACCTTAGCTGGAGCAATTTTATTGAAATGGCTGGGTGGAGACCAAATAGCAATGGTTTGAAGTGAGTAGGAATTGAGGAAGTGGAACTGGTGAGTGTGGGATGCTCTTTGGAAAAGAATGGCTATGAAGGGAAGAAGAGAGGGGGCCATAAATTAGGTGTTATCTTAAGTCTATTCCAGCTGCTATAACAGAATGCTTTATATTAGTTAATTAACAAACAATAGAAGTTTACCGCTTGCAGTTCTGGAGGCTGGGAAGTCCAAGATCAAGATGCTAATAGATTCTGGTGTTTAGAGAAGGGGTATTTCTCATAGATGGCACCTTCTTGCTGCACCCTCACATGGTGGCAAAGAAAAGGCACCCCCTTAAACTTCTTGTAAAATGGCATTAATCCAATCCCACTTACGAAAGCAGAGCCCTCATTACTTAATCACTTCCATGGGGATACCAACATTCAGACCATAGTCGGTGTTTTCCAAGATAAGAGAGACTTGACCATGTTTAAATGTAATGAGTAGGTGCTAGTCAGGAAAAGTGAAAATAATAGGAGAGAGAATAACTGACTGGGCAAAATCCCTAATGTCTTAATTTGATTATGTTTTTTAAACATGTCTGCAGTCTGCCAAAGGTTGTTGTAAGAAACGAACTACAGAAACGTAAAGCCATATAATTTTAACTGTAGAGTAGCTTTTGTACTTTAAACAGTTTCAATTATAAGGAAGGGGGCATATTACTATAACTTCATTCAGACAGTAAACTGTTCACTGATTTCTACTCAGCATAAATTAATCTCGTTTAAAAAGTAGGAGTTTTACCTGCAGTTGAGTTACTTATAAAATTATAAACTGTTACTGTTTTTTTGGGAAAGCTTTGTAGTAATTTTTCCCTGATGAAACTGTTTAGTGTTTGAACTGTTACATGTTACCTTACTGAAAATACCGATAGTGATTATTTAAAATGATAGCAAATTAAACATTTGAAATGTTAACATCTGTCTTTATTTTTATAAGGATAGAGTTCTGTTCAGTTGTATGTTTGTTTATTTGGCTTATAGTTACCTTGTTTGGTCATTTATTCTTATCTAATTAATAAGAGTAAGATGTAAGTAAGCTTCACTAAAGCTGCATTAAAAATTAATCTGAACTGATGGGCGGTGCCCACAAGTTAAGAAGGTGAATGGGCTGGGCACAGTAGCTCATGCCTGTAATCCTAGCACTTTGAGAGGCCAAAGTGGGCAGATTGCCTGAGCTCAGGAGTTCGAGACCAGCCTGGGCAACACAGTGAAACCCTGTCTCTACTAAAATACAAAAGAAATTAGCCAAGCATGGCAGTGGGTGCCTGTACTCCTAGCTACTCGGGAGGCTGAGGCAAGAGAATTGCTTGAACCCTGGAGGCGGAGGTTGCAGTGAGCCAAGATCGTGCCACTGCACTCTAGCCTGGGCAACAGAGCAAGATTCCATCTCAAAAAAAAAAAAAAAAAAAAAAAAAAAAAAGAAGGTGAATGGTTTGCAACTGATTCTGAGCGTGGTGTAAAGTTTAAGGTAGATTCTTTTTTTCCCCTCTCTTTTAGGTTTTACACTTGTCATTTGCCCATTGATCTCTCTTATGGAAGACCAATTAATGGTTTTAAAACAATTAGGAATTTCAGCAACCATGTTAAATGCTTCAAGTTCTAAGGTATGTTTCAGTGGGGTTTTTTTTTTTTTTTTTTTAAATATAAACTGTTCACTGAAGTAGGAGCTTTACCTGCAGTTGAGTTGCTTATAAAATTATAAACTGTGAACTATTTATATCAGGAGTTGCAAACTACTGCTCTTGGCTGGTTCTGGCCCACTGTCTATTTTTGTATGTCCCATGAATTAAGAATAGTTTTTATATTTTTAAATGGCTAAAAAAACTAAAACGAGTATTTTGTGAAATGTGAAAATTATTTGCAGTTCAAGTTTCAGTATCCATAAATAAAGTTTTATTGAAACACAGCCATGCTCATTTGTTTACATGTTGTCTGTGGCTGCTTTTACAGTATAATGGCAGAGTGGAGTAGTTGTGATAGAGACCTTGTAGCCCACGAAACCTAATATTTTTGTCTGGTACTCTACAGGAAACATTTGCTGACCTGTTTCGTATTATCCATTCTAAAATAGTAAGGGAGAATTTCTAATTATGCAGTGTAATGAAATATGAAATATGAATTACTAAGAAGTTACCCTGTACCTATGGAATTTCTTCTATTTAGGGATGGACTCTTTTACCGTCATCTGTAGAATAAAGCATGTCCCAGCTATTCTTTTTTAAAAAGCATATTACTGAAATCTTCAAAAGGAGAGAGAATAGCATAAAAACTGCCATGTAGCCATTTCCCCCTTCAACAGTTATCAACATATGGCTAATTTTTAAAAAATCTATATACCTCCAATCTTCCCTACCCCCTTCCCCTTAGTTTATTTATTCAGAACAAATTCCAGGCATCATATTTTAATTGTAAATTCCTCAGTATGTATCTCTAACTTTAAAGAAAAGTGCTGTGCCATCATCACATTTAAAAACTTTAATATCAATTCTTTAGAATTATGAAAAATTCAGATTTCTCTGTCTCATTTTTATGTTTTCTTTTTCTAAATATAGCCCAGATAATATTCATGCATTGTATTGTATTTGGTTGATTTATCCATAGGTTCCCTTTATCTCTTTTGTATTTCCCATGCAAATTCTTTGTTGAAGAAACCACATTAATGGTCCTCTATCTTTCTACATTTTCCTGATTGCATCCTTGTGGTGTTTTCTTTCTTTTCTTTTCTTTTCTTTTCGTTTCTTTCTTTCTCTCTTTCTCTCTCTTTCTCTCTCTCTCTCTTTCTTTCTTTTCAGTTCTGGGGTACATGTGCAGGATGTGCAGGTTTGTTACATAGGTAACTGGATCCTGTTAGATCTAAAAGCCTGATTGTATTTGGAATTTTTCTTTTTTCTCTAACTTTTTTTTTTGTTTTTTGCAAGAATATACTTACTGTGGTATTACTCAGGTGGTACATAGTACCTGGTTATCTTTTTGTGATGCTAAGCATCAGTGGGTTCAGTTGATGTCTGCCTGATCTCTGGTTATCAGCTTTTCATCTAATGGTTTTAGCAGCCACTGAGTGGCGCTGTGAGAGCCATGATTTCATTAGAGAGGTGCAAAATAGTGATACCTAAATCTGTCACTCTTCGTATTAGCTACACTTTTTCTACAAAAATGAACTTCTTCCTCATTAACTCTGCATGATGAAAATGCTTGATTTTTTTTCCCTTTCTTTACCAGTTTTCAGAAAGGGTTGGTTTTCTAGCATTCTCCAAAGGTGGTCAACAAGATTTTTAAGGTATTTTTTTCCCCCAAGTATCAATATAAACTTACAAATTTTGAGATATAATATGATTCACCTTTGGAATCATATAAATATGTATATATGTAATGCTGAAATAGTCCTGGCCTTGGGCAGTGAGAGCCTCTTTAAGTTGGTTCCTGAATCTTTTCTCTTAACCCCATTGCTTCTGCTCCTTGCTTTCTTTTGCAGTAAGATAATCCATGTTCATTTTATGCATTTCCTGCACAGACCTAGAGTCAGCCATACCTCTAAGAAGCCCTGCTTCCTTTAGTTTACTCATATATTTTTGTTTTATTTAAACTCCATATCATTCTATTATAACTACTCCTTCATTCAACAAAATCAATCTGTGGAGAAAACTGCCTTCTAATAATGTACTTTCTTAAAATTGAAAAAGAACATAATAGTAATAGAAAGTAGTTTAGAAAGTTGCAGATAATTACAAGTTCATGATATATCCCTACTGCTTGAAAAGTTGGAGAGAGAAAAAAAGAACATCTGTATCCTAGGATATATCTAGGAATTAACAAACTGCTTTGCTGGGATGATGAAAGCAGTTTGATTGTCTCTTTCTATCCCATTCACTGGCATGTTTTTATACTTTTTTGGTCCTCTTTAGGTTAGAAGGAAAAAAATGACATCTAATGTGCTAAGTATTATATAGAATTGTATTACAGTACTAAGAAGCTAATAAATGTTAGCTTTTAAGATTTATTATTATCTTAATTTAATGAGTGATACTTTGTGAAACCCCATGGTCTCTATGTTTAAATAAAGACATTAAAAGATTTGATGGCATCATTTAAGAAGTTAATAAATAATAAATTTTGTTCACATACATAAAGGGATTATAATGTTAAAATTAATAAAACCCACCTTTATAACCATAACAATTGCATCTAGCTCACATTTTAGAATATATTATGAACAATTGAGAATTATCCCTTTATAGAATAAATGCTCTTCATTGGACTATCTGTTCATGTTCATTTTTTTTGTTCTTTTTTGTCAAGTGAGTTTTTTTTAAATCATCAACAATGTAGATGTTAGTAAATAACTAGAATGCTATTTACACAGCTGCCGTGATGTTTAGTACTGGGACATGGTTTCAGTTTTAATGAACCAAACATCTGCTCCTAGAAGAGCCGAAGTCTATTTTTGCTTTGGAGAAATGAACGTTTTCATTTACCACCTAGTATTTCAGTCTGCCAGCTTAGTTTTACTATCATTGTGTCTGTTTTTTCTTTTACTAGGAGCATGTTAAATGGGTTCATGCTGAAATGGTAAATAAAAACTCCGAGTTAAAGCTGATTTATGTGACTCCAGAGAAAATTGCAAAAAGCAAAATGTTTATGTCAAGACTAGAGAAAGCCTATGAAGCAAGGAGATTCACTCGAATTGCTGTGGATGAAGTTCACTGCTGTAGTCAGTGGGGACATGATTTCAGACCTGGTATGTATGTTTTATCTAGAAAGCTTTTTGATGTCATAGACCGTGTCCTTACTCAGCTTGGCATGATGGAAATCTCTGCTTCTATTAAAATCAGCCTCACGTAGTTACACGTTGAATATCCCTTATCCAGAATGCTTGGAACCAAAAGGGTTTTAAATTTTGGATTTTTTTGGATTTGGGATGATCAGCCTGTATTACTCATTTTATCTTGCCTCATTATGAGGAGGACTGAGAAGCAGAATCTTTAGTTTCATTCCCCTCTGTAGTCTGTAGTTTAACTGCCTTTGTCAATTATGGACAAATATGGACACATATGTTTACTAGCCAATAGTGGACATCTTTTTGGCATTTATGACATCTATGTATTCCTTCACATTTGTTGAAGAATTTGCATCTGTTTCAAAGTTGTCATCTTTAGTCATCATTCTGGGGGTCTCTTTAGCACCCACCTGCAACTCCTCAGCATTAAACTTTGATGAGATATTTTAGTGACCTTTTTCTTCATCCCACCACCTAATCCTACAGTCATAGCCTAAAGTAAGTTACTCAGAATTGTTATATGCAAAAAAATCCTAAATTCAAAAATCTGACTCCCTGGCTTCAACCTCTTTTCCTTCTGAAGCTTTTCACACTCATTAGGATTTGCTGGATCCCTCTTTTAATCCCGGCTTATTTATCCAGGCTCCTGTCCCTACATAGCAATCACTCTTTTTCCCGTCCAGACACTGTGCTGTTGCCCCTGACTTCTGTTATGTTTGCCCTGCACTGCCTGGCCATTCTGCCAGTCTGCTTCAGGTGTTGTGCTTGAGACGCTGGATTCATCTAGACTTCTGCTTTCCCTATTCCTGCTGCTTGGCTACTAAACATTATCCAAAAAAAAAAAAAAAACATTGCATACCTCCGTTCAGCTTTTCATTATCCTCAGCTGTCCTTATACTTGTCCCTATTTCAACTCCTTTATACATTCCTTCCAACAAATGTCTCGTATCATTAACTTTCTATTCAGGCCCTAATTTGTACTTAGCAGATGCTTTCTGCTTCACAGGAAATAGATGCCATCAGGTATGAACAGCTCCTCTTTCTACTTTCAAACATTAATAATCTTTGTTGTTTTTTTTTTTTCTTTTGTTAAGGCAGAAAAGACCACTGCTTTATAAGGGTAACCATGACCACTCCCGTTTCATCCTTTCCTGCCTTCTTAAGATCTTGCACTGCCAAGTTCCTCACTCCTTCACCTTGAGTCTCTTTTGTCCCCTCCCTAAAAACGGAAACTAAAACACCCTTCTGATCTTTTGCACCTTTTAATGTGACTGTCCTCTTTCTGTTCTTTCTGTCACCATCAGACTTCTCAGCTTACCATCTCCATTTGTCACCTTTAACCCATTCTGAACTAATTGAATCATATCCTTCTGCTACCACTGTACTATTGAAACAGGCCATCGATGACCCACCCCCAGTGGCTTCATCACGTGGTCTCATCTTCATTCCTCTTCCCACTTAACTTCAATAGCATTTTATATATTCACCTCTCACCTTGCCACATGCTATTCCCTTGGTTACTGTACAGTAATGCTGGTCAGTGTCTTCCTTTCCATTATTACCTCCTTCGCTCATCTTCCTTTGTCTTCGTTTTAAATATTAGTGTTCCCTAGGGTAAATATCAGTCTTTACCCTTTCTTACATTTCTCCAGGGATAGTGAGCTTGTAGCCCGAAGACTGCATTGTCTACCTACAGAATTATTATGGGCATTGTTTTTATTTATATATTTTAAATGGATTTAAATGCCTTAAACAGGATGATTACTCCTTTCTATTAAGGACCCCACTTTCTTAACCAGATAGCACCACATGGTTGTCACCTGGTGGCCACTGAAGTTACCCAATTTGTGACTCTTGCCCTATTTTCAACCTAAGTGGTGTGATCACTTACGATTATCACCCTTGCTTAAGTATTACCATGACTTACGTTGTCTCTGTGGATCTGCTGCCGAAGTGTAAAACATTATTCCCATATCTAATTATTGAACTTCTAAACTTTAAATTTATACTCCTAATTGTTTATCAGAAATGTGTATCTAAATTAGCATGAACAAAACTAAATTCCCCCCAAAGAACTACTCTTTTTCTTCTCAACTGGGAGTGACTATTTTCCCTATAACTCTACTCGACGTTCTAACCAAAAACTTTTTATTTTCTTCACCTTTCCTTTCTCCCTTCTCCTCTCCACTCTCAAGCAATTTTCCCCTTCAGTCTTCTCTGTCTTAGAAAGTCATCCACTCACTCACCTGTTTGCTGAAGCCAAAATTGTAGCAGTTACCTTTATCATTTAGATTCCAGTCAGGAGACAGTTATTTGAACACAGAGGATTTTTTATAAAGAATTGTGAACTAGGTAAAAAGTAGATAACATAGATAACTGAAAAAGTAAAAAGAAAACTAAGATATCATGGAGTTAAAAGCTGGAAGGAGCAACAACCACCTGTAGGGCTGGGAGAACAGGAAGAAAAGATTGCAACAAATAAGACTTAGAAACTTAAAGGAGAGGCCCCCGTGGAACTGAGCTCCCTGGTGCCGGAGTCTCTTGGTAGAGCCAGAGGTGGGGTACATCTGTGATACAGCTGGTTCTCCAAAGGCTGAAAAAACCGCCAGCTGTATTTAGTTGCTCTTAAGGAAAGAAGTGCTGCTGTAGGGATGAGAAGCCTTGCTGGGGTGGCAGTCACAGGAACACAAGCAAGCCCACAGGAAGCAGTTAGGGAGGAAGCAGCCATGGAATCTTCCACGCAGGGCCAGCAGGCAAAGCTGATGCGTAGTGTGCAGAGTCCTTGGTGCAGCATCCCAAAGCAGAGTATAGAAGGTAGGGTTAGAGATGACAAAAAAATGATGGATGACACACCATCCTTGATTTACGCTCCCTTTGCAGGTCCAGTCCACCTCTCAGTGTTGTCAGCTCTGCCTCTAAAATGAATCTCAAGTTTGTCTACTCTTTGTGCACCTACGTCTTACATACAGTTGAGCTCCCTTCCACTGGTCTACTGCAGTAGCTTCCTAAGTAGTCTGTGATTCTGGTCTTACCCTTTCAGTTCATTCTCCACAGAACAACCAGTGATATTTTCTAAATATAAATCAAATCATGTTACTTCCCTACCTAAACTAGCCAGTAGCTACTGTGTACTTAGAATAAAACCCCAAAGTTCTTAACTGGGGCCCATAGGGCAATAGGTGATCTGCCCCCATCTGTCTACCTGATTTCCTACTCTTCCTCTCTTACTTCTTAAGCCCCAGCTATACTGGGCTTATCATTACGAGCACTTACCACTCTCTAATGGCATATTTATTGGCTTACTCTTTGTATTGTCTTGTTTCTTTGCTTGAATTACAGACACATTTGCATAGCATTTTTGTCTTGTTCATCACTCACTCTATCTTCAGTGCCTAGGGAAGTGCTTGGCACCCAATTAAAAAGGTGTTCAACATTTATCTACTGATGAATGGGTAAATCTAGCACTCTCTCCCTCCTCCCTGCCACCTCCAGATCCCAGTAGTCACTAGGACCTGTAGGTTCATATATGTCTCTTTACTCTTTCTGATTTGTCCTTAATGTCATGTCTTATTTTATATTCTGTATTATTTGTTTTCTGGTCTGTTACTGCCATCTTTTAACTGGTTTTCCTTCAGTGTTTTGTCTATTCCAGTCTATATTTTGCACTGTCACCAAAAGATGATTTATGAAGCATATGTCTTTAGAAATTTACATGATGGACTGGGCGCGGTGGCTTATGCCTGTAATCGCAGCACTTTGGGAGGCCAAGGTGGGTGGATCACCTGAAGTCAGGAGTTGAAGACCAGCCTGGCCAACACGGTGAAACCCTATCTCTACAAAAAATGTAAAAATTAGCCAGATGTGGTGGTGTATGCCTGTAATCCCAGTTCCTCGGAAGGCTGAGGCAGGAGAATCACTTGAATCCAGGAGATGGAGGTTCCAGTGAACCGAGATTATGCCATTGCACTCCAGCCTGGGTGGCAGAGTGAGACTCCATCTCAAAAAAAAAAATTACATGATGACTCCTCATTTCCTATAGGATAAAGTCTCAGCTTAGAATCAACTGGCTGCATTGTTCATAGCTTTTTTTTTTTTTTTTTGAGACGGAGTCTCACTCTGTCGCCCAGGCTGGAGTGCAGTAGCGTGATCTCGGCTCACTGCAAGCTTCACCTCCCAGGTTCCCGCCATTCTCCTGCCTCAGCATCCCGAGTAGCTGGGACTACAGGCAACCGCCACCACGCCTGGCTAATTTTTTTGTATTTTTAGTAGAGATGGGGTTTCACCATGTTAGCCAGGATGGTCTCGATCTCCTGACCTTGTGATCCGCCCGCCTCGGCCTCCTCACCTGCCTTCTACATAACAGTGTCAGTCAGGGTTCAGGCAGGGAAGCAGAGTCACGATGAATGTTACGGGATAACGGTTTTACTGTAGGAAGTAGATCTTGAACAACTGTGGGAGGAACTGGGGAAGTGAAGGTCTGAAGAGGGGAGTTGGAGGATTAGAGAAAAGTAACAGATTGATGCCTAAGCACTGGTGCAGGAGGACGAGGCAGAGCCTGTAGGGAAATCTGCAGCTGGCATGTACAGTGGCAAAGAGGACCCCTAAAGGGAAGGTTGTGGAAGGGTCGCTGGTAAGCTACTTCCTGTGAGTAGCTATCGCCTCTGTGGGTCTGCTGTTGACTGGCAAGACCTGCAGTTGGGAGGAACAGCTGAGTGAGGACTGGAAAAGAACTAGGATGACCTAGAACTGGCTGAGCACTTCTAGATCTGTCCATCATCCTCTCTGCTTGTAAAGACCTTGAAGGAGCAATGGTAGCTGGTTCACTTCTGCCACCAAATCTTGCACAAGTTCCTCTTTTGGGTCAGCTCTAACTTGGAACAGGAAAGAGATTCTGGGAAATGTAATTTCCAGCTTAATGGATTGGACAATAAATCCATCCACCACAAGACTCTGTGACCACCCCAGTGAACTGCTTGCTGTTGTCTGAACATACTAATTTCATGCCAGTGTATTTGCAGTGTATATGCTGTTTCCTCTGCGTGATGTTCGTGTCTTCCTAGTGAACTTCTGCTCATTCTCTTAAGACATAACTCAAGTATTATCTCCTTGAAATCTTCACTCCCCAAGCAGCAGTTCTGTCCTCTGTGTTTTCATAGTAGTCCTCTACTTAGCATATAAGCAATTTCTACCACATTTTTTTCACTTTCCCCCAAATAGTTCAAGTTCTTAAGGGAGATTAAGGACAGTTTAGCTAGGGATTTAGATGCATATAACAAGTTTGAGCCTAGAATGGTTTCCCAGAAATAGGTTATATACAAAGCAGTGCTGCCCTTACCAAGCTTTATTTGGTCTGATGACACTAGGTGGTAGCAGGGGTTTGTCTGATGGCCGGTTTTATCTTTTGTTAGTTGTAATAAATTAAACCACTGTGGCTATACCCACTGTCTCTTGAGTCCACTGTGACCAAGAATAATGTCTGGAATAAATATAATAAAGCCTGCACATCAAAGAGGCTAACACAGAACTGCAAATTTACTGCTATAGATGGCTGTGGAGATAAAATCATAGTAGTCATCGATTATCTGCATAATGTTAAAAGGTATAGTTTACTCTAACTCTTAAAGGATAGAAAAAGGGCTACTTTATTTGTTTTTTCAGATTATAAGGCGCTTGGTATCTTAAAGCGGCAGTTCCCTAACGCATCACTAATTGGGCTGACTGCGACTGCAACCAATCACGTTTTGACGGATGCTCAGAAAATTTTGTGCATTGAAAAGTGTTTTACTTTTACAGCTTCTTTTAATAGGCCAAATCTATTTTATGAGGTATGTAATTTTTATGTCCATTCATTACTTTCGTGAAGAATTACATAGAGATGATCTACCTTTTTATTATGTTTGTTTACATGAGCAGCAGTTAAATACTTTACAAAAACTTTTAACATTAGGAGGTAATTATAAGTAGATTCTGTAATTAGGGCTTCATTCATGTATCTTTTGCTACATAATCCTTTGTTAAATTAAACGGAAGACACTCTTGCTAGGTGACACTTTTTATAAAATATATGAGTAAGTTATATATCTTTGTTAAATTTCTGTATGTTCTTTTTTGTATAAAGATGGGGAGAAAGGATGGAGTGATACTAAGGACCCTAATTACATCTCTGTTCAAATTAATTACTAATTAATAGAAGTATTAATATGCCATTAAAGATTTGCCAATTCTGTTTAGATTTTACTTGATAAACTTGAAAAATGACCTAACAGCTGTCTTTTCTTTCTTTCTAAACCCTTTTAAGAATAGACTTAATACTTTTCTGAGTTTTCATTCAAGAGTTATTTATGTTACAGTTTGCTTTTATAAAAGTAGCATCACAAAATAAAAAAGTCTTCATCCTTACAAGTTATTCACTGCTCCTGTGCTTGCTCTTCTCTGGTAAATTAAAAAAATAAAGATCAAGAAGAGTCTGGAAGGAGGAACAGATGAGTCAGATGGGTTGAATCCTATGAGTAAGTGAAAGAGTAATAGAAAAACACTATGGTCATGAAAGAACTGCATCCTGAAAGTTGTGAGTAGACAGCCACTTGGATGGTACTCATTCATTTACTTTTTAATAAGTTAAGTTTTTTTTAGGTTCGGCAGAAGCCCTCAAATACTGAAGATTTTATTGAGGATATTGTAAAGCTCATTAATGGGAGATACAAAGGGCAATCAGGTAATGTAAAAACCAACTTTGGAGACAGAGATAACTTTCAAAAAGTGGCTTCATATTATATTGAGAATTATATTGATAACTGAATAACACCAAATCTGTTATTATCTGTGTAATAACACCAAATAACACCAGTAGCTCATGCCTGTAATCCTGACATTTTGGGATGCCAAGGCGGGTGCCTCACCTGAGGTCAGGAGTTCAAGACCAACACCAAAAAAATTAATGTGTAGCAGAAGATACTTGAAAATGTGTGATAAAATTAATTCACTTGATCTTAGAAGTTGGGTGTGACATTTGCTTATGCCATAGATTATGAGTCATCAAATTGCCTGATCTATTTTTGCTTATTTACACTTGCTTTAGAATAGACCTGATGACTTAATGTGAATTATCAACAGCACATATTTAGTACGTATTCACTGAGTACAAAATAGTGGATTAAGCAACTGATGTTCTAAAGGGATAGAAAATATACTCTCTTATAGTAAAGGACACATTAAAGCAATAAGTAAATCCAGTAGTACATACTGAATAGATTAGGACATGAACAAAGATGTTCATGTCCTAATTCCTAACCTGTATGTTACCTCACATGGCAAAAGGAAATTAGAGTTGCATATGGAATTGAGACTGTTCATTAGCTGACCTTAAAATCGGGAGATTCTTTTTGATTGTGTGATGTGAGAAGAGCCTGACACCGTGATTTTGATCCAGTGAAACCCATAGTACACTTCTAAATCTAAACTACAGAAATGTTAAGAATAAATTTGTGTTGTTTAAAGCCACCATATAACCAGTAAACCATATATACATGGTTTTCTGGGTTTAATGACTAAACAAATGTTACCGAAGCAAAGAATTTGTGTAAAAGTAGCATTTTAAACTGTTCTATGGATTTTCAGGAGGTAGTAATGGGTGTCCTGGGTAAAAGGAGTTCTAGGGTCAAATAAATTTGAGAAAGGTTGTAGGTATTTATTCTGCCTGGACATTCACAGGGTATATCAGCAAACTAGAAGCTCTGACCATCCCTGAAAATAAAGAGAGACACCCATTTAACTTTGTTGAATGCAATGTTCTCCAAATTAATTTGCATGCAAATTAATCTAAATTAACCCAAAATTAATCCGGAGAACACTCATAGCACATTTGTTAGCATCTTACAGACATCAGTTTGAGAAATACTGTGTAGTGGGAAATAAAGAGAGAAAAGAGATAACGGGAATGAAAACTGATGGCTCAGGCTCATTTCTGCTTTAAAGCAAGCTGGTACTCAAGTCTGGAATTATACCAAAATGTCAATATATGCACAAGGCCTTGAAATTTTTCATAATTCTTTTTTTCCTTCTGTGCATTGTATTAATCAGTGTCCCGAATGCGTATGTTGAAAATTATCTTACAGGAGTATACCATATCTATCTAACAAATGTACATATTTTACTGCAGGAATCATATATTGTTTTTCTCAGAAAGACTCTGAACAAGTTACGGTTAGTTTGCAGAATCTGGGAATTCATGCAGGTGCTTACCATGCCAATTTGGAGCCAGAAGATAAGACCACAGTTCATAGAAAATGGTCAGCCAATGAAATTCAGGTTAGGTATAAATCTTCCATGGAAGCCTAATTTACATTTAAAATATTTAAACTTGATTTAATTAACTGATAAAATGTTGAAATATTTCAGGTAGTAGTGGCAACTGTTGCATTTGGTATGGGAATTGATAAGCCAGATGTGAGGTTTGTCATCCATCATTCAATGAGTAAATCCATGGAAAATTATTACCAAGAGAGTGGACGTGCAGGTATGTAGGACTCAAATCCAGAAGTAAATTTTTAGAAAGCTTTTCCCAAAGACCGGGCGCGGTGGCTCAAGCCTGTAATCCCAGCACTTTGGGAGGCCGAGACGGGCGGATCACGAGGTCAGGAGATCGAGGCCATCCTAACATGGTGAAACCCCGTCTCCACTAAAAAAAAAAAATACAAAAAACTAGCCGGGCGAGGTGACAGGCGTCTGTAATCCCAGCTACTCGGGAGGCTGAGGCGGGAGAATGGCGTAAACCCAGGAGGCGGAGCTTGCAGTGAGCTGAGATCCGGCCACTGCACTCCAGCCTGGGCGACAAAACGAGACTCCGTCTCAAAAAAAAAAAAAAAAAGAAAGCTTTTCCCAAAAACACATTATAAATGTTTAATAAGTCTGTATATTTTATCTTTATTGGATAGTATTTTTAGAACAATGTATTTTTAGCAGTCGGACACTTACTTGCATATGGAGAAATTTTTACTTATGTTCTGTTGTTATCTGAATTGTTTCTTCTTATGTGTGTTAAGATAATTTGATATTCATCTTTGCCTCCTGAATTTTTAATTAGTGATTTCAAATCTGTAACTTAACTGGATTATAGACACATTTTTTTAACTTAGTAGAGCTGATTATTGATGTCTCTTTAGAGTTTTTTTTAATTTGAGGGTACCCATTACAAATTAACTTCCACATCTCTAAAATTTCTAGATGTAGTATGAAACATTGCCTGCTAATTTTACATATATCATTTTTGCATATTTTGAATTTTTAAATGTAATTCCGCAATCTCAAGGTTTCTGCAATCTCAAGGTTTCTTGCACCACAGGTCGAGATGACATGAAAGCAGACTGCATTTTGTACTATGGCTTTGGAGATATATTCAGAATAAGTTCAATGGTGGTGATGGAAAATGTGGGACAGCAGAAGCTTTATGAGATGGTATCATACTGTCAAAACATAAGCAAGTAAGCCACATACCTTTTTATAACTTTTATCAATTAAATATGAAAGTATATGACATCGTTTTTAAGTTCTTACTAAATACATTGGTGTAACACCAAAGTACAGATATATAAAAGCAGATGTTGGAGGGTAGGTAGGGCATCAAGAAAAGATGCCCTATCTTTGAGATAATCCTCCAAAACTACTTTTTTAATTGAAGGTTTTTGAGACCCACTGATAGCAGTTGAAGCCTTTTTTTTTCTCTGGCACTGGTGTACAGTTACATGCTTTAATAATTTTGAAAAGGTCTATGGTTAAGATAGGCATTTTGAGAGTCAGGCTCAGTAACATGTGCCATCCTGCTAGCTCATGTGTCAATGAAATACCAAGTTTCTCCTTAAGAAGTAAGTTTAAATCTACTTAGGGTGGCTTTCATTAGACTATATAGTTTCCTGAAAGCTTTTTTTCATAGTTATCTTTGTGCTCTTATTGCCTGTCACATAAAAAGTGCTCAGAAATGTCGAGGTGGTAAATAGCAGACAGACAGTGATAGAAATGTTCTTTCTTTCCAATAGATGCTACAATAATCTAGTTAAAAGAAATGAGAAAATGAAAATGTCTTTAAAAGCACAGTAGATTCTCATGAAGCATATTTTAAGGCTTCGACTCAAATATTGCTACTTAAAAATATAAGAAACTATTTTACTGTCAAGAATATTCTCCTAATAGTTGTAAAACATTGAATTTAAAAATGGAACTCAGACAATTTTTTAAACAGTGTTTATCAAGAATATGTGGGGAAAAAAGTCCTATGTCGGGGACACAATGTGCCCCAAAGATGTTCATGTCCTAATTCCTAACCTGTATGTTACCTTACATGGCAAAAGGAAATTAAGAGTTGCACATGGAATTAAGACTGTTCATTGGCTAACCTTAAAATGGGGAGATTATTTTAGATTGTATGATGTGAGAAGAACCTGACACCCTGATTTTGATCCAGTGAAACCCATACTACACCTCTTTTTTTTTTTTTTTTTTTTTTCTGAGACAGAGTCTCGCTCAGTCACCCAGGCTGAAGTACAGTGGCGTGATCTCGGCTCACTGCAAGCTCCGCCTCCCGGGTTCACACCATTCTCCTGCCTCAGCCTCCTGAGTAGCTGGGACTACAGGCGCCTGCCGCCACGCCCAGCTAATTTTTTGCATTTTTAGTAGAGACGGGGTTTCACCGTGTTAGCCGGGATGGTCTCGATCTCCTGACCTCGTGATCCGCCCGCCTCGGCCTCCCAAAGTGCTGGGATTACAGGCGTGAGCCACCGCGCCCGGCCCATAGTACACTTCTAAATCTAAACTACAGAAATGTTAAGAATAAATTTGTGTTGTTTAAAGCCACTAAATTTATGGTAATATTAAGGAAGTTATAGGAAGCGAATACAGTATATAATGGTGTAATCTGAAAGAGATTCTTAAAACTTTATTATATCCTCTAATAATCTGTATCTTTAAATGTGTTTGCAGATGTCGTCGTGTGTTGATGGCTCAACATTTTGATGAAGTATGGAACTCAGAAGCATGTAACAAAATGTGTGATAACTGCTGTAAAGACAGTGGTGAGTTTGTTTTATAAACCTTTATAGGCTAATACAGTCATATATTGCCTAGTGACGGAGATACGTTCTGAGAAATGCATCACTAGGTGATTTTGTCATTGTGCAGACATCAAAGTGTAGTTACATAGACCTAGATGGTATGGTCTCCTAGGTTATATGGTATAGCCCATTGATCCTAGGCTACCAATCTGTACAGCGTGTTACTGTACTGCATACTGCAGACAACTGTAACACATTGCTAAGTATTTGTGTATCTAAACATAGAGTAAGTACAGTAAAAATATGGTATTATAATCTCTTGGGACCACTGGCATGTACGTAGTCCATCACTGACCAAAATACTATGTGGCACACACAAAACTGTATATACAGCTGGGACATGAGAGAAGTATTAGACTTCCAAATGGATTTAAAAGATTAAAGTGTGACTCAGATTTTCCAGAATTAAAAGTATCAACATGAAGTTTTGAAACAAAGGTGAATAAAAGGAAAAGTCTTATGTGTATGCACACATTTTATATTGCTATACCGAGGATGTGAAATTTTTAAGAAATGAAGGAAAATATTTGAATTCTTCTGAACAGAAATGCTATTCTGTAAGAAAACGCTAACCATGTGATAATCTCTAATACTTTATAGTCACTAATTGAGAAGAAAATTTAGTGCAAAATAGAGATTATAGAGAATCATTTTTGATCCAGTTAATGGCTAATTAGTCATAGGAGATGTACTTAAAATTCTTTTAAAGGTAGATCAGCAGGACTTGTTTTCTGAGCATTGATCACAACCCTGCTGATCAAAACAGGATCTGGTCAAACAAGATGTAGCAAAGAAACTGGCCCAAACCAGTTAGAACTAGAAAATATAATGTATTTGCATGCTGTAAGACACTCCCACTAGCACCATGACAGTTTACAAATGCCGTGACAATGCCCGAAAGTTACATGGTTCTAGGAACTCTCTACCCTTTTCTAGAAGATTCACGAATAATATTCCCCTTATTTAGCATGTAACTAATGAGTAGCTGTAAATATCGCTAGTGAGCAATCTACAATGCCACTCTGCCTTTGGGGTAGCCCTACTTTGTCTGTGGAGCCGCCATTTTCTATACTCTATTGCTAATAAACTTGCTGTGCTTTCACTTTACTCTGTTGGCTTGCTCTCAGATTCTTTCTTGCATGGAACTGGGAACCCCTCCTGGGCTGAGTCCCAATTTTGGGATTTGCCTGCATCATTTTGGCACTGTATTTTAACTTTTTGTCATCTGTGTGTTGTATTTGAAGATCTGGACCTCATGGTAAGACCTTACTGAGTTCTGATGCCTTGTTAGGTGGAAGCCACTACATTTTTACCTTTGCAGAGACGTTTATGGGTTTATTAAACCATCTTATAAAATAACAAGAGTGTTATATATAAATCAGAGTACTGGTCTGTTAACAATCGGGGTATCAGTTGAGGACATTCTTGTTGCTAAATCAGAGCGCACAGGAGCCTATAACTAGACAGGGTCTCCTATATAGCACACCTCTTAGTAACTTAATAATCACATCTGGCAGACACATTGATTTCTAGAGTATATGGCAGGGCTTCTGATAACCATTTTTTTTTTTTAAATATCACTGTAAACCCCACAATGTAGAGACCGTAACTTGGTCTGGTGACAGAGACTTGAGGAACAGCCTAGTCTTCATTCAGAATACATTTAAGAATCAGTGTTTAGGGTGGCTCACATTGATAACCAGCTTTAAACCAGTTTAACCACTTAAGATAGCCTATCCTTGCCCTCATTTCTAAATCCCAGTTACCTGCTACCATATTTGTTTTATTACAGCATTTGAAAGAAAGAATATAACAGAGTACTGCAGAGATCTAATCAAGATCCTGAAGCAGGCAGAGGAACTGAATGAAAAACTCACTCCATTGAAACTGATTGATTCTTGGATGGGAAAGGGTGCAGCAAAACTGAGAGTAGCAGGTGTTGTGGCTCCCACACTTCCTCGTGAAGACCTGGAGAAGATTATTGCACACTTTCTAATACAGCAGTATCTTAAGTATGTACAAACCCATTCATTATCCTTTCAGGTTGTCTTTATGTTTTTTTTTTTTTAAATTGCAACAGAATACACGGTTTTGCAGTTATTTTGTGTGAACTTTTAAATGCTATAGAAATTTACCTAAAACACTCAAACTTCAATCACTGTAAATCAAAAAATGTAACAAAAATATTTTCTTTAAAGGCTTTATTTGCATTCTTGTTTTATTATTTCAAGTCAATGTGTTAAAAAGTATTGCACAGTTATTTCTTTTATAAATTTGTTTTCTGTGATTCCTTCAAAAACTTTCTTATTGTTGGCCTTTATTTTATGCAGAGAAGACTACAGTTTTACAGCTTATGCTACCATTTCATATTTGAAAATAGGACCTAAAGCTAATCTTCTGAACAATGATGCACATGCTATTACTATGCAAGTGACAAAGTCCACGCAGAACTCTTTCAGGGTAACTGGCTATTAATTTTCAGTTTTATATATTTAAAGTATATTATATTTTATATATTTTAAAAGTATATTAAAGCCTATGGGATGCTTTTCTGTCATATTCCCTAGGTCCACTTTTCTGATTAGATTTCTGGGTATGGAAGAGAGAAAACATACTTTTCTGTAAAGATATAAGTGGAAGAATTTAGACTGGCCTTTTAACATAAACTAGGGGTTTCCAATGTCTTGGAATGGGAGGACTCCATTTGAATATCTAATTTTGTTATGCTCCCTGCTCTTATTTGGTTGTGATTATTAATAGTTGAGAAGTCTGTTTCTGCTGTTCCAGTGGTTAAAAACCACTGTTATAAACCAAATACTATCAAGTCTGCAAAAGCATGTCAGGTGCCATTGTCTCAGGACATTTGAGGTCTTTAGAACTTCTCCCACAATGTAGCCCCTTTTATTCAAACTAGAGCTCATATTTGAATAGACATTTGCAGATAAAAAAAAAACTAGATCCCTGTATACTTAAAAAGCCAACTGATACAGAAAGAATATCTTCAAATCTTTACTCTCATGAGAAAACTGAATGGCTGAATTTTTACCAAAGTGCTTGCTTTGTTATTGTTTTCGTAGGCTGAATTATCTCAAACTTGTCATTCTGAACAAGGTGATAAAAAGATGGAGGAAAAAAATTCAGGCAACTTCCAGAAGGCGGCTGCAAACATGCTTCAGCAATCTGGTTCTAAGAATACAGGAGCTAAGAAAAGAAAAATTGATGATGCCTGAAATGAATGTTACTAAATTTTCTAATTAAAGATGGTTTATGCATGTATATGCCATTATTTTTGTAGTTAGATAAAAGTTTAATTTTTAAAGCAATTTCATTGATATTTTATATGTATGGATCTATATTTTCAGAGCTTATCTCTGAAGATCTAAACTTTTGAGAACGTTTGAAAATTAGAGATCATGAATTATATAATTTTCCAGTATAATACAAGGGAAAAATTTTTATGTAAAACACTTTATATGTAAAATATTTGAGAATAAGTTCATATAATTGTCTTAAGTTTTTTATGCCTTTATGTACTTAGCTATATTTTTTCTTTTGACATAACTATCTTTTTGAAAGCAATATTATACTGACAGAGGCTCACTGAGTGATACTTTAAGTTAAATACGTAGATCAGGGATGTCCAATCTTTTGGCTTCCCTGAGCCACACTGAAGAATTGTCTTGGGCCGCACATAAAATACGCTAACACTGACAATAGCTGACGAGCTTAAAAAAAAAAAAACTGCAAGAAAATCTCATGTTTTTTTTTTTTTTTTTTTTGAGACGGAGTCTCGCTCTGTCGCCTGGGCTGGAGTGCAGTGGCCGGATCTCAGCTCACTGCAAGCTCCGCCTCCCGGGTTTACGCCATTCTCCTGCCTCAGCCTCCCCAGTAGCTGGGACTACAGGTGCCCGCCACCTCGCCCAGCTAGCTTTTTTGTATTTTTTAGTGGAGATGGGGTTTCACCATGCTAGCCAGGATGGTCTCTATCTCCTGACCTTGTGATCTGCCCATCTTGGCCTCCCAAAGTGCTGGGATTACAGGCTTGAGTCACCGCGCCCGGCAAAAATCTCATGTTTTAAGAAAGTTTACAAATTTGTGTTGGGCTGCATTGAAAACTGTCCCGGGCTGCATTAGGCCCGTGGGCTAGAGTTGGACAAGATGATTTCAGGTTATAAAACCAGAAGTACAATTCAAACAAAAAAGGAGTAAGTCATCAATATAAATATTAGCAGATGAGATACTGCTACATCTCTATTTAAAGTAAAATAAAACCGATTTTAAAGTTCCTGAAACCACAGTCATATTTTGACTTTTCACAAAGAATGGTTCTAGTCTACTAGAGTACATTTGGCTAAGTAGATAACTTAGCTAAATTTGCTTCAAAGCTAAATCACAAGTAAACATATTTATGTTTAAAACATAGAAATAAATAACTTAAGATTTTTATCTAAGCGGTCAGTGCTGTATTGGAAAGATTATAAATAAACTATTTGAACTGATTTCAAACTTGGAATTTATGTTTTTATACTTTTCCACTAATACCATTATCACTTCAGTAATTTTCAGTGTGGTCATCATTAACTCAATGCCGTCATTGATTTTATTGACTTGTGATTCTTCTGGTGTCATCTGGAACTTTATATGATTCTTGAAGAAATTCTATTTTCAGTCAAAATAATCTTCTATATCAATATTTGGATCTAGTAGATCTTCTCCATATGATGAAAGATTCATTTGGTTTAAGATTAGGTTTTCAAATGTTTCTTCTAAATCAGTTTCACCAATTAAGACAGCGCCCATCATTCGTCCATTTTGCATGACGACTTTGATGTATTCTTGTCCTTTAGTACATCTCAGCATTAATTCATGATCTGAACCTAAGCCCTGTGCATTGTATTTTCCCAGCAGTACAACCTATGTATAGAGATAAAAAGGTTATTGTCATGAGTATCAAACAGAAAATGTAATGGGTATTTTGTGTCATGTTAGAATAGCCAGCAGAAAAATGATGCCACAAAATTTCATAACTAAAAATGTTATTGGGGACAGTCCCAAGAAAAAGTTTGAATAGCATGCATTAATTCTACAGATGACACCGCCACACAATCTACACTGACACTAAAAAATTCTGGTGAATATAGTGAAATATTAATGTTATTTATTAGTAATTAATGTTAATTAATATTAGTAATTAATGTTAGTGTTTTAACACTAAAAATATCTAGTGAATATAGGTAGGTGATTCTACCAATCTATATGAACATTAAAACTAGTGAATATATAAATATGTAGGATGTGGATACATTAAACGATGTGGGGTCATGGTTTAAAGATTTGGCAAGGAACTGAATTAGAGCTTTCATGGACAAGTGACTTAATTTCCCTGAGCCTTTTGAGTATGTTTCTCCTTCTCTGTAAATTAGGGGGGGAAAAAACTCAAAACAACCTTCGTCAGCGTAATGTAAAGAGGACTGAATAAGATAATACATACAGGAAGGCACTTGGTTTATTTTTGAGTACAATAGCTGTTAGTTCCCTTCACAAAGAAAGGATGAATCACAAGTAAAAGTTAAAAATGCACCAACGGGGAACAGATCTGGAGAGAAATTTTTTCCCCTCTTAACTAAAATAGAATAGTGGTAAGGTGGATAATAATTATCAGATGATTAGGGATTAAGACCAGCAATAATACCAGGTATTGGTTTGTAAGAAATGAAAAATGTCATTTTTTTGTAAGATGATTAAAACTATGTACATTTTTATTCAAGCAAGAAAATCAAACGATCTACCATGGTCATAAGACTAACAAGCAGAGAAGGCGTTAATATGCTTAACTATCTTACCTTATAGTTAAAAAATTTTGTCACATGAGCAAACAGTTCAAAGCTGAAATCCATGTCAATGGAGTCTCCTAAACTCGCTGCAGCCATGCACTTTGCTGCATACCATCCCATCTGTCTAGCCTGGGTCCACAGCCTCATCTGAAATAATGAAAAAATGTCACACAATGTCATTTTTCATGATCATTATTTGAAAAATGTTATCTTAACTTCGTAAATTCACTTAAAGGAGTTCAATGTTTGACAGTCTTTCTGTCATCTTTGCCACAGAAGCAGTCACCAATGGACAACTAATCAGACTGATTTTTGGTATTTGTTAATTCTATCTAAATTACTGTCTCTAAAATTAAAAGATGGTACCAATCATGCCTGTTTTAGTAGCATTTCTATTAAATATTATGAAACTATATTAAGCTATACCAGGTGAGAAAAATGTTTTAATTAACCAGTCCCTTCTTCAAAAATTTGCCATCACCATTAATAGAGATGTCAAATTATCACTGAAGAATTTGTTCTGTTTTCCAGCAACCTTCACTTTTATGCGCTAGTTAAGGTCTGCCGAGCTGTTGACCTCAGTGGTCAGACAGACTGTTGGTGCCTCACCCCAGGATAACATAAATATTTCAGCAACTGATTCTGGGAAATCATTTAAATTGTTTTGTATGACAGTATTAATTTATCCTGTATTGTATTTTTATTTTATTTCCACAAAGTTTTGAGACTCCCTGGTATAAAAGAACACTGACCTTGGAAGTCACAGTGGATTTTAATATCACCAGATCTACACATATATTTAACTTTTCTTGAGCCACAGTTCATTTACCTGAAACATAAACATAACACTACCTACTCCATAACTACTGAGAGAATGAAATAGATTGGCCTATAATAAGCACTTGGTTTCCTTCTACCTCCCTGTATGTGCATATGTACTTAATGCTATCTTTTGTTTGCAGAAATAATATCATAATCATAGACATGAGCTTTAAGTCTTTCTAGCAGAAGTGATACAGATTTTTTTTTTCAATCTCCTCTGTAAACAAGGTATAGATTTGATAAAGTGAAAGGCATTTTATGGCTGGAGGTCAGAAAAAACTGGGCACAGTTACAACTAGAGAACAGCTAATAGAAGTGGCCTGAAAATTTGCCTCTCGAACTGCATAAATTAGTATCCTTACTGCTTGTGTAAGGCAAGATGTGGGGTCTATAAGGTGCGCTCAAAACAAGGGACATCTGTTTTTGGATTTTTTTTCCCCTCTTTCAGATTATAACACATGAAGATATAATTTACCCTAAAGAATTAAAAATGTTAAAAAAAAAAAAACCCCACAAACTCCAACTCTAAAGAATTTGTGATAGTCTTGCCACAGAAATGACATAGAATGAGGCAGGTTAGAAACAAAAAGGCTGCGACCACTCTCCTATTACTGATGTTTCTACTGTCTGTAAGAACACAAAATGATGGTGCTGCCTCTTGAAATACTTTTAGCTCTTCTACTACTTCACACTGCATAATCTGAATGAATAAAGTCCCTAATTGTGGAGCTGGTCTTTAACAAAGATAAATGTTGCAGGGTTCCTTTATCTCAAACATCTACCTAGGTCTCTACCCCTCTGCACACCTCTGGTCACTGTCTTTATCTTCCTCTAGTATTTTTGTTCCACCGTTAGGAGGATGTAGGTAAAGCTATGAGGGTTCGAAAAAGCCTAGATCTAGTTGGGACTTGTTAAGGCTCAGGAAAAGTGTTTACGACAGGAACTTTTTTTTTTTTTTGAGACAGAGTTTTGCTTTTGTTGCCCAGGCTGGGATGCGGTGGCGTGACCTCAGCTCACTGCAACTTCTGCCTCCCAGGTTCAAGTGATTCTCCTGCTCAGCCTCCTGAGTAGCTGGGATTACAGGCGCATGCCACCGTGCCCAGCTAATTTTTTTTGTATTTTAGTAGAGACAGGGTTTCATCATGTTCAGGCTGGTCTCGAACTCCTGACCTCAGATGACCCACCTGCCTCGACCTTCCAAAGTGTTGGGATTATAGGCATGAGCCACCGCTCCCAGCCAGGAACATTTTGTAGTAATAATTACCACAGGGACAGAATAGGATCATCCAGGAATAGAATGCTTTATCTATATAATTTACAATCTTAGTCGTTTTTTTAATCTAAAGTTGTGCTGTCCAACACTAGCCACATATAGCTATTTAAAGTTAATGAAAAGTAAGTAAAAATAAAAATTCAGGTCCTCAGTCACATTGACCACATTTCAAGTGCTCATGTTATATACTGCTGGCTACCTGACTGGGTGCTGCAGAATTAAACATTTCCATCATCACAAAAAGTTCTCCTGGACAGTGCTGACAAGCATGTAAGAATGAAAAACAAAGTGACAGCCCATAATTTCCTTCAAATTAAAAGATAGCCCAGTCTACCATTATAGGGAACTTACCATACAGGGAAATATTCTAGTTTTTTTTTTTTTTTTTAAATATATACAACTCTATGCTAGCTTCCCACTTAAGCAGCAAAGCTGGAAAACCAGAAGTTGGATTTGTTGGTAACAACTGCTTTATTTCCAGACAGAATCTCTGATAAAAACATGATCACGTATGCTAGCTTACCTGCTGCCAGACTGGGCTCAGCTGCCAGGATGCAGTACAGATGTCACCGGCAGCATAGACATCAGGAAGGGATGTGTGCATATGATCATCCACTTTCAGGCCACCATCTTCTCCTAGATTAAACTAAACAATGTTCCCCGTAAGCGTAAGTGGTAAAAAAAAAAAAAAAAAAAAGAAACATGATTTTTTCCATTCTAAAGTAAAAACAAATTAAATTGTTACACTTTGGCATGCTCATCTTTAATGAGAAAATGAAAAATAGCCACAAAGTTTAGACACGTCAGCCGAATTTCCATGGATCAAATTCCAACTAAGATTGATCCATAAAAATCTTAGAATTTCAACATGAAAAGTATCCAATAACCATCTGGCTATCCTACCCATAATGGTAAGAATATTCTTTTTTTTTTTTTTGTCAGCTTCAAGTGTTGAAAAGCAAAAAATACAAGATGGTTTCTCTAAAAGAATCACTTTTGAGAAGTCACAGGAGGCGTCAGTCTCTTACCAACATTTAGATAAACAAATTGTACATTATGAACCATTACTGATGATGCTTATGCCAGGATGTAACTATGTAAGGATTTTAAGCAGTAAGAAATACTGTAAATCAAGACAATGTTTTAACCAAACTGTCTTCAACCATATCAAGTTACAGTAGTATACTAAAATAATTATTTTTCATGTTTGAGAACTAAAGATCTTCACAAAAATACTTCAAATATATTCACAGTTGGACAAAAAAGTTTCACCTTACACTGTTACCACGGAGAAAAGGTTCTACATTTGGTGTAACTCCTGTAGCACTGACAATGAAATCACAGCCATATATCTTTTCATTGGTCAATTCCACATAGACAGGCCACATCTCTTCAAGAAAAAAAAGAAAAACAGACTTTATCTGCAAATGGAACCACCACCACAGCAGTGCATGTGACTACAATGACTAGAAACAAAGAAAGAAAGAAAAAGGCAGGCAAGAGATGACTTTGTAACACACTCCTTAGTAATTATTATGAGGCATATTTGCTAAAGCAATTTTAATGCAATTAACATCATCTTGTTTGGGTATAATTTTAAAACCATGGCATTTCAAATGTTTTTCCTTCAAATTTGGACACATACATTTTGACAAAGTAAATTTAAATTATTTCTCTAAAAATCTTTCGTAATACTTTACACTCCACTTCGTGTTTAGTTCAACTGGGTGTTTTCCCTCACTATTCATATTCAAATTCCCCTTTCCTATGGAAAAATTCAAAGAATTCAGAACAGCAGAATATTTCATATGCTAGTTCACAGAGTGTATTTCTTCAAATCATGGCAATTATCAGAGGAATTGTGGAATTGGAGGTAGGAAAGCTGCATCTTAGTCCCCAAAATATACATTTTCAATCTGATTTGGGTGAAATCGTCTCACCTTTAAGAGCTGCAGGTTTTTGTTTTATTTGGATTTACAATATATTCTGATGGTTGATCAAAACATTATGAGCTCTATGGAAGATGTAATGCCCTACACAGTTTAATTTACTAGAAAACAACGGATAGTGAAGTGAATGTTATTACATTATGGTTTTTACTTTTCATGTTTAAATTTTATATGGAAATATGAAGTTATGTTTAATATAACACAGCAGGATTAAATTGTTTTCCTTTTAATTAAGTGGTTATATATACTACTACTTCTTTCATTACTTGCCTGTATCAGTTGTAACTGACTTAGGGTCTCTTGGAAAAGTGAAGGACTTTTTCTTCAAAATTCTAAACTCATCCTGAAGGTAGATTTTCTTTACTTCACACATAGTTTCGAGGTGAATCTTATGAGAAAACTAACATTAAGAAAACACTGGTTAGCATAATACTTCCAGAAAGAATGACCTGGGTTACTAATGATGAAGAAAAAACTTATAGTTGTAGAAACACATAGAAAACATAATTCTTATAATACAAATGAAAACACATTGAGTGCCCTAAAATAAGTCTCTTTATGCACATGAAAGGAGTGAACGAAAATTCATTCAGTAACTTAAGAGATTTGGTATCTGCATTAGCAGACAGCATCGAGGGAATGTTTTTTAGTCTAGGCATCACTGACAATTACAAGTATATATTTTTTAAATTACAGTAGTTGCTGGGCACAGTGGCTCACGCCTGTAATCCCAGCACTCTGGGAGGCCAAGGTGGGTGGATCACCTGAGGTCAGGAGTTTGAGACCGGCCTGACCAATATGGTGAAACCCTGTCTCTACTAAAATTAAAAAATTAGCCGGGCCTAGTGGCGTGTGCCTGTAGTCCCAGCTACTCGGGAGGGTGAGGCAGGAGAACGGCTTGAACCCAGGAGGCAGAGGTTGCAGTGAGCCGAGATCATACCACAGCACTCCAGCCTGGCTGACAGAGTGAGACTCTGTCTCTCAAAAAGAAAAAAAAAAAAAATACAATAGTTATAGACCCTAAAAATTTACTCAGGTCAGATCTGTCTTGACTTATTGTTGTATCCCTGAACATTAATAAAGTCCCAAGTAGGTAGTAAGTACTAAATAAATGCTTACTGAATTAAACTGTTGAAGTCCTCAGGTTAAAAATATAATTAATATTGGGATCTGAAGGTGCAGAAAGAAGGGACTTTGTATAATTTCCATTACAAAAATTAGATACACCATGCAGCCAGTCCCCCTCCCACCTACTGAAAGCCAAAAACCAATGCTCTAAAGAAACCACACACAGTAACGAATGACTGCATACATGCTTCTTACAACGTTTAGTTTTCACAGCCTTTTAACAACTATTAAAAAATCAAAATATCTAACAAAACGAGGAAAAGCAAATCATCTCCTTATCCAATTAGGATATTAAGTGTATATTTCTAATCAATCTAATAACTTTTATAAGTTTACTGCATGCATCTGAAATGACCTTTGAGAAAAGATTAATTTAAAATAGGGCAGGTGTATTCACTGCAGTCTGGGTGTAGAGAGCTCTATCCCTGATCTGAGGATACAGGAAAAAACAAACTTACTTTCTCCTACTATACTCTCACAACACAGAATACTTCTGCGACCAAATGCGTGGGGTGTTTTCTACACACTAAGCAAGCAATTATTCTGCACAGGACACCATCTGGCTGTCCTCTAATTCAATTCAGTTCTGATGTTATTATCTACCTGGAGATAGCATCAGGTCCCACATGTTGAGGGATCAATCTCACAGGACTGTCTTCTACTTCCGATACCAACTGCAAGTCCCGGGTGTTTCACCAGTCCGTCTGACTAACCAATTACAAATCAAGGGGCTCCCATGAGCCCCTTTCTTAGGTTCAATTAATTTATTAGAACATCTCACAGAATTTGGGGAAACACTTTACTTACATTTACTGGTTTATTATCAAGGATGTCACGAGGAAACAGAGGAAGAAATACATAGGGCAAAGCACATAAGAAGGGGCATGGAGCTTCTATGCTCTCTCCAGATAGACCACCCTCTAGCAACTTCCACACGTTCGGCTATCCAGAAGCTCTCCAAACCCAGTCCTTTTGGGTTTTCATGGAAACTGTGTTATGTAGGTGACTGATTAAATCATTGGCTGCTAGTGATTGGCTTAACCTTCAACCCCTTTCCTTTCCTGGGGGTTGAAAAGTCTAAATTCTCTAATCATGCCTTGGTCTTTCCTGTGACCAGTCCCCATTCTGAAGCCACCTAGGGGCTAACCAGTCAACTCGTTAGCATACAAAAGGACACAACACTTTAGAGATGCCAAAAAGTTTAGAAGTTGTGTGCCAGAAAACTGCAGGCACAATATTTTATTGTGCTTCACTATTGTTTTACAGACAGTGTGTTTTTTACAAATTGAAGGTTTATGACAACCCCACATCAATCAAGTCTTACTGGTGAAATTTTTCCAATAGCGTGTGCTCATTTTGTGTCTCTGTCACATTTTGGTAATTCTTGCAGTATTTCACAGTTGTCATCATTATTGGATCTTCTATGGTGATCTGTGATTAGTAATCTTTGATGTACTATTGTAACTGTCTTGGGATATCATGAACCACACCCATCTAACACAGTGAACTTAATCGATAAATGTTCTGTGTTCTGACTGCTCCATCAACCAGCTGTTGTCCTATGTCTCTCCCTCTCCTTGGGCCTCCTTATTCCCAGAGACACAATAATACTGAAACCAGGGCAATCAGTTACTCTGTAGTGGCTTCTAAGCGTTCAAGTGAAAGGAAGGATCACACATCTCTCACTTTAAATCAAAAGCTGGCAATGATTATTAGCCTTATTGAGGAAGGCACGTGGAAAGCCAGGCCTCCTGCACTGAACAGTTGGCCAAATTGTGAATGCAAAGGAAACATTCTTGAAGTAAATCTAAAGTGGTAACCCAGTGAACACATGAATGAGGAGAAAGTGAAACAGTCTTCTTGCTGACATGGAGAAAGTTTTAGCCGTATGGAGAGATTAAACTAGCCACAGCATTCCCTTAGGTCAAAGCCTAACCCAGAGTAAGCCCCTAACTGTTCTCAATTCTGTAAAGGCTGAGAGAAGTGAGGAAGCTGCAGAAGAAAAGGTTGAAGCTAGCAGAGGTTGGTTCATGAGGTTTAAGGAAAGAAACATCTCTACAACAAAAAAATACAATTGATAACTGATTAATGTGGCTACACTAAACAATAGATTTTCAGTGTACATGAAACAGCCTTCTAGTGGAAAAAGATGCATCTAGGACCTTCATAGCTATAGAGAAGTCAATACCTGGCTTCAAAGGACAGGTAGACTCTCCTGTTAGGGGATATTGTAACTGGTGACTTGAAGTTGAAGCCAATGCCTATTTACCATTGTGAAAGTTCTAGGGCCCTTAAGAATTTTAGTACATCTACCCTGCCTGTCTTCTATAAATGGAACAACAAAGCCTGGATGACAGCATGATATGGTTTGGGTCTGGTTCTCCACTCAAATCTCATATCAAATTGTAATCCCCAATGTTGGAGGTACGGCTTGGTGGGAGGGACTGGATCATGGGGACAGTTTCCAATAGTTTAGCACCATCCTTAATGGTTTTCATGATAGAGTTCTCATGAGATCTGGTTGTCTAAAGGTGTGTGGCACCAGTCCCTTTCTCTCTCTTCCTCCTGCTCTGGCCATGTAAGATGTGCCTAATTCCCCTTCCCCCATGATTGAAAGTTTCCTGAGGCCTCCCCAGTCATGCTTCCTGTATAGCCCATGGGACCATGAGCCAATTAAACCTCTTTTCTTTATAAATATTACCACTCTCAGGTATTTCTTTATAGTACTGTGAGAATGCAGTAATACATAGCATATCTGTTTACATGGTTTACTGAATATTTGAAGCCCACCGTTGAGACCTACTGCTCAGAAAAAAAAGATTCCTTTCAAAATATTACACTCATTGACAAGGTACTTGGTCACCCAAGAACTCTGACAGAGATGCACAAAGAGATGAATGTTGTTTTCATGCTTGCTAATACAATATCCATTCTGCAGCCCATGGATCCAGGAGTAATTCTTACTTTCAAGTCTTATTGAAGAAATGCATTTCATAAGGCTATAGCTGCCACAAAGGGTGAGGCATCTGATGGATCTGGGAAAAGTAAATTGAAAACCTTCTGGAAAGAATTCACCATTCTAGATGTTATTAAGAACATTCATGATTCAAGGGAGGAAGTCAAAATATCAACATTAACAAGAGCTTGAAAAAAGTTCATTCCAATCTTCATGGATGACTATGAGGGGTTCAAGATTTCAATGGAGAAAGGCAGATGTGGTAGAAATAATAAAAGAGCTATAATTAGAAGTGAATCCTGAAGATGAGACTACATTGCTGCAATCTCATGATAAAATTTGAAAAGATAAGGAGTTGTTTCTCATGGATGAGCAAAGAATGTACTTATCTGAGATGGAGTTTACTTCTAGTGAAGATGCTACAAGTATTGTTGAAATGATAAAGGATTTAAAGTATTACATACACTTAGTTGGTAAAGCAGTAGCAGAGTTTGAGGGAATTGACTTTTGAAAGAACTTCTACTCTGGGCAAAATGCTATAAAAAAGCTTCACATGCTACAGAGAAATCTTTCATGAGAGGAAGAGTCAATTGATGGGGCAAACTTCCTTGTTATTTTAAGAAATTGCCACAGCCACCCAAACCTTCAGCAAGCACCACCCTGATCAGTCATCAGCCACAAATACTGAGGCAAAACTTTCCACCAACAAAAAGATTATGATTTGCTAAGCTCAGATGATTGCTAGCATATTAAGCAATAAAGCATCTTTAAATTAAGGTATGTGCATTGTTTTTTTAGACATAATGCTAATGCACATTTAATAGACTGCAGTATGTTATACATCTAACTTTTGTATGCACTGGGAAACTGAAAAATTAGTGTGGCTCACTTTATGGTGATATTTTATTTCCTGTGATGGTCTGGGACTGAACCTGCAATACTCCAAGGGATGACTATATATATATTACAGTATCACACCTCAAGAGTTAAAATGTAGGCTGAAATCCAGTCTTAGATGCTTTGACATTCACTTTTCTTTGGTGGCCAAATGGACCAACTGGATTGGAAGTCTCTTCCTAGCACCATGGATTTTAAGTAAAGTGACCTAGCAGTTCATTGACTATAACCAGTCTTTAATAAATGGTTCCAGAATTTAAAATTACATTTAGACATGTCCAGTCAGTATATGAAAAGATACCTCTTTTGTTCCTTTAAGATTCAAGCCTTCATGCCAATCTGGTCCCAGTGCACTGCCTACATTATCTGCTTTAGATTTGCTTCTAGCTTCCTTTTTCCTTCCTAAAGAGATGAAATTAAATAACATAAAAATTACCACGTAGAGAAATAGGTTAGTGTTCTGAAGTTTTTTATTTAGGCAATGTAACGATTCATATATATACATACATTACAGCATGACTAAACTATGTTATCTCTATTAATCATTTTAGTCATTATTTTAATATTTTTCTGATGGAGAGTTACAAAATGGATACTCTTTCAATTGTGTAAGTTGTGTATAAACACACTCAACTTACATTTTGGATGTTACATTGGTTAATCTGAAGGGTAAGAAAATTAGCTTTCGAATTTTTGTAATTTTGTCAATTTTTAGCACCTCCAAAATGTACAAAACTCGTTTAATTTTATGACCTAAAATTTTTTTAAAGCCATCAAACTTAAAAAATATGTTTATATTATCATTGCATTTTTTACAAAACTTCTTTAGGTGTTGCCCAAATGTAGCATCTCTTTGCAAAGACGCAGATGGGCTGAGTTATTCAATTCATTTTAAATTTCTTATTTTAATTGTACATATAAAATACATACATATATAAAATATATATAATAGAAAATCTGAAAACTTCATGTAAAGATACATAAATACCCATATTACTATTTCAAAAATTTGTTTTATTAAATTTTCTTGTAGCCCTTTTCTATATGGTTAAAACAAAGTTTTGTATGAGAATTAATGAGCTAGGTGCTACGCTTACCTTCAGTTGTATATCTGGTTCTTTTCTGTGCAATTTTAGCCTCTGGTTTTTCAGCAATGAGCTTTGAAGTCAAGAATTCAGCTGCTCCTGCATCGAAGAAAGTATTCCCTATAGCTTTATCTTTAATGGCCCAAATCACTTCACAGCCTTCAATTTCATACCTAAAAACAATATTGAAGTTACTAAGAGTAATTTCAAAAGTCTAAGTAAAAAATCTTTGCATTTGCAAATAATGATCTCCTGAAGCAAAAGCAGGGAACACATTTTTAAAGCAAACTGGGGAAAACTGATTATAAAGAGGAATATTAACGTTCTTTAAAGATACTAAGAAAAATAGAATAGTAAAAGAAACTAAAGCTGTTTACAGAAAGAACCTTTAAGTGACAAATACATGTACTAAATATGAATATGTATTAAGTGACAAATACATGTAATTTCATTACAATGTACATCATTAGAAAATGTTCAATTTCTACAACACACTTATTACATGAATGGCCCCCAGGGGTAAGCAGTGCTTTTTAAAAACTCTGGTTATAGTGTAATCAGTAATGGATGGATGGTACATAGCTATAACATTGAGAATCAGTCACTTATTTGGTAACGACTTTTTGTATCTTCAAAGCACATTGTGGAAGGAGATAGAAAATGGAGAGAATCAGAGTTATAAGCTAAAAATCTTAAGGATCAAGATCAAGGATCTTAGAGGAAGGAACGAATGGACATGGTATATGTAAGCCACCTTCTATTACTATTTACCACTAATGTAAGGTAATGGGCATGTGATATTTTATTGAAGGTTTAGATACTGAGAAGTGGTTTTCCTAACAATATTCGTTTCACAAAGTCCCTGAAGTCCATTATAATTAAGGTGATCATATAATTTATCATCTAACTTGGTATACTATCTGCTACTAACAATCATTTTTGGTACAACTGGTGGAAATGGAGACAATCCCAGTCAAACAAGATATATTGGCCATCCTAACTATAATAGGATTTTATCTAAACTTGCAATACTAATAAAATACTGTAATTAAAAAGTTAAGGTATTAATTTTTCACATTTCTTTACAGTACAAAGTATTGCCATCTTTATTTTGCAGACTGATATAACATAGTTAGGTTATACAACTTTTCAAAACTAATCAATAAACAGATTACAGAAAAAGGGTTTAGAACATCTGAATCCAGGTCACTTGATATTCACACTTTTCAACATATGGTGATAAGGAGCTCCTTGCTTCATCTAATAAGTCTTTATTTTTCCAGCTCTCCTATGTCAGTAAACATTTAGTCACCAAATTTCAGATTAGTGGGTGAACATTCAATTTTATGTTACTCTGTCATATAGCATTACTGACCAGTGGAAAGTGGAATACACACACATTTGGTAAAAAAAAGTTTGTATTTCAATTTACATACAGATCTACAGTTATCATGTAATGCTTTCTTTTTGATAAACTGGGAATTTGTATTACCATTTTTAAATTTAAAGTAATATTACAATATAACACCTATCAGTGTAGTTTAACATACTGATGACTGACTAGCAGACGAAGTTATTACAAGCAACCACAAGAAACTTCAGTACTTGCTCTACCTCTGAAGACACCTTCTAATCCTCTTTTCCTAACTTGAACTATGCAAGATGCACAAGTTTGACGATTATCATCACATACAGAGGGGAAATATGCTTTCATTTTTAAAATGACTCTACAAAAACAGACAATGAGGTATTGCAGTTTTGTGAAGTTATGAAAAACAGTATCTGTTTGAGAAGGAAAGGATTAACTTACACTTAGAAACAAGAAAACAGATAATAACTGAAAAAAATGTATAATGAAGAACATGAGTATTACTTTCACTGAAACACAGTGTAGAAAGGGTATGAGTATGCCAAGTTTCATGACAGACAAAGACCTAATCATTTAGCAGACCTAAAGTCAGAGAATAACATTATGTGGGTCCATTTTAATTTATCAAAGAAGAGCTTACTAAATACAAAATTATAAGTTTTATCCAATTATACTGTCTTCAATCTCCAACTTAATGAAAATGATGAATCGGATTAAATGTAAGACTCTGAACATTTCTGAACATAAAATTTTTAAATGTAAATAATGACAGTTACAATAATGGTGATACTTTGGTGATAGCTGATGGAGAAAACCTGTCATGTATATATTATACACATGGATTTGAAACCCCATTTACAATAAATCTATACCTCTTCCCTCTTGGTCCACATTTTGGTTTTGACCCTTTCTCTGTATTTCTACATACAATGCCACAAATTTCATAATAACAATAATGACTGCTACCCATAGTACTCAGGCAATTTAAGAACTCCTACAGGCTTCCACTGGGTCAGATCATCCTCTAAAAGCGGGGCAAAAACCTAGTCTGAGAGTTGGATTGAATCCAAGTGAGTAGAGATATGGCTTTGGAAGAGTCCTTATTTTGATTCAAATTTGTCCTCTTTGTGGTCTGACCCAACTTTATGGCCTGAAAAAGATCCAGACTATTTCATGTCAATCATCTGCTAGAGGATAAAATCATGAAGTGAATCAGTCTTCTGCAGGCCACAGCGGGATATTTCTCAATGGTTTTTGAACTTGTAATGTCATCTTAAGATGAAAATATTTCATATTAATTAATGTGTTCACATTTCCTAAGCCACCAAAAACCAAGAGCTGGAAGAACCACATATCCTAAAATAGGAGTCACAAATTTTGGGTTACACTGGCCAGACAGGTAACATGAATGAGTGAAGCAGGATTTATCATATAAGCAATAAAAAGTGGTGAGGGTGGTCCGGCGCAGTGGCTCACGCCTGTAATCCCAGCACTTTGGGAGGCCGAGACGGGCGGATCACGAGGTCAGGAGATCGAGACCATCCTGGCTAACACGGTGAAACCCTATCTCTACTAAAAAATACAAAAAACTCGCCGGGCGTGGTGGCCGCGCCTGTAGTCCCAGCTACTTGGGAGGCTGAGGCAGGAGAATGGTGTGAACCCGGGAGGCAGAGCTTGCAGTGAGCCGAGATCGCGCCACCGCACTCCAGCCTGGGCGACAGAGCGACACTCTTTTTCCAAAAAAAAAAAAAAAAAAAAGTGGTGAGGGTTATCACTAGAAATCTCAAAAGATGCAAATATTTAAATTATTTTTAAACAAAGAATATACTTATAAAACACATTTAGGGGCCAAATTTGGCAACCACCTTGAGACCTAAAGCATTCCCAAAACATATATATTTTATAATAAAATTTCTACAATTATGGAGTCCACAAAAGCTTAAAAAAAAAAAGGTGAATTTTTCCCCTTGAAAATGTATGAAAATTATATTTATCTTTGATTTTCAGAATAAAAAACATTTTCCAGTCTGCCAACAAATCACATGAATCACAAAGCAATTGTTAAATTTAAAAACAAATGATTTTTAAACAATTTAAATGTTATATTTAAAAATATATACTTACACTAACTCAAGTGCAATACCACCGTTCCCTATGATCATTATTCTTTTAGCTTTAGTAAGCTGTTTCTGAAATTCCTATGTTAAAAAGAAAATAATGAGGCAGTATTTTGTAATAGCGGGCAATATCTGAAATAAGAGGCTTCAATGATAATATTCTAAAAATGTAAATATTTTATTGAATTTGTAAAGAAAAAAAAATGAATCTCACTTTCCCACTCTATCAGGGTACATCCTTCTCAATTAATATTACAAAAGTTCCCTTTTCTACTTTATCCCAAGCTGCTTTTTATAGCAATGCTTCTCCTGATTTTCCTTTCCTTTTAGGTCATTACATTCAGAGTACTTCAGACTTTCAGCAGGAGGCACTATTAACTTAGCACATTCCCAACTATTTGACCAAATCAATTATTCTTTCTTTTTGCCTAGACTCTCAGTTTCCCTAGAGTTACTCAACACTCAAAACTTCTAGGAATGCCGGGCGCGGTGGCTCAAGCCTGTAATCCCAGCACTTAGGGAGGCCGAGACGGGCGGATCACGAGGTCAGGAGATCGAGACCATCCTGGCTAACACGGTGAAACCCCGTCTCTACTAAAAATACAAAAAAAAAAAACTAGCCGGGCGAGGTGGCGGGCGCCTGGAGTCCCAGCTACTCCGGAGGCTGAGGCAGGAGAATGGCGTGAACCTGGGAGGCGGAGCTTGCAGTGAGCTGAGATCCGGCCACTGCACTCCAGCCCGGGCTACAGAGCAAGACTCCGTCTCAAAAAAAAAAAAAAAAAAAACTTCTAGGAATGAGAAGTTCAGCAGCACAGTGGTTAAGAGCAGACTCTGGAAGCACTGGCTCTAGCAATTACTAACTGAATGACTTTGCAAATTGCTTACCCTATCTGCACCTCAGGTCCTTCAACTATAAATGGAAATGATCCGCCGGGTGCGGTGGCTCAGGCCTGTAATCCCAGCACTTTGGGAGGCTGAGGTGGGTGGATCACAAGATCAGGAGATTGAGACCTTCCTGGCTAACACCGTGAAATCCTGTCTCTACTAAAAATACAAAAAGAAATTAGCTGGACATGGTAGCGGGTGCCTGTAGTCCCAGATACTCGGGAGGCTGACACAGGAAAACGGTGTGAACCCGGGAGGCGAGCTTGCGGTGAGCCGAGATCGCGCCACTGCACCCCAGCCTGGGTGATAGAGCAAGACTCTGTCTCGAAAAAAAAAAAAAAAAAACCCCATATAAATAGAAATGATAAGTGACTATATATCCTGATGCTTCTGTAAAGATTACGTGAGATGATACAGACAAAGCTGGTAGGAGTAGCAGGTGCAAAATAATGTCAAAAAATGTTATTAACATTCTAAGACAGATAAATTGATGCCGCCACTCTCCAGAAAAAAAGACCACAGTGAGCTTACCAGTGGTATTTTACCACTGGAATTACCAGTGGTAATTCTTTGGGCACTTTCAAAAGTATAGAATAGTTTCATTGCTTCAAAATGACATCTGAACAGAAAAATTCTCCTTCCTACTAAGTTTCTATTAAGTTTATCTCCAAACTGATACTATTCACTGAAGCTGATATCTTTAAAATTCTCCAAGAAAAAAAACCACTGAAGTTTATTTTAGTTTGTCCTGCATTGAGGATATTGCAATTTAAGAAAGACCTGTAAGAGCACTGGACCTAGAGGTGAAAAGCACAACTTTAAATTGTGTATCTGATAAACTTAATAGCTAAATTAGTATAGATACATAATTAATCTCTCAACCTCAGTTTCCTATCTGTAAAGTGGGAGTAATAATCGTCACACAGGATTATCATGAGGATTCAATGAGTTCATGTATGTAGCGGACCTAGCTGAAACAGTTATAAGCTCAATCTCTGATAATATGAACTTAAATTGTTTACAAGAAGATAATCAAGTTCCTTTAAATTTTCTCTCAATTCCTAATTATTTAATTAGGAGAAGAATAGGCTGAAAGAAAACCTTATTAATTTTTCAGAATATAAATTATATTAATGCAAAATCATCATGTCATGAGACAGAACAACAAATCCGAGGTTAGACATAGTATTGTGAAACCAGAAAGAGCTTCTTGGCAATAAGGGTTAATAAGCCCTGAATTAAATTACCAAAAGGAAGTTGTATAATGCTCCAAATACAGATGTTTCACCTTATTGGGATAGTTTATCTAGGGCAGAACAATAAGCCAAGTGACTTTTTCTGTTCTATGATTCTGTCATGATTTTGTACCACAAAGATCTTTTGAAATTTTTTTGCTGGAGAATAAGAGCCGTAATTTTTGAATTGCTTTTACCTTTTTGGAAAAAACTTGTGTTTCAAATGTGGTATGTATGTGTTATATTATTTAGGCTGCAAATCACATATTCTCAAAGTAGAGTAATGAATGTGTGTGTACTGCAAGTTGTTAATATTCAGCAGAGTCATTATATCTGGGTTATCTCATGGTGATAACACATCAGCATGAACTTAAAAACATAATATCAACTAAAAATAAATAAATTGACAGGAATAGGCCGGGCGCGGTGGCTAATGCCTGTAATCCCAGCACTTTGGGAGGCCAAGGCAGGCGGATCACGAGGTCAGGAGATCGAGACCATCTTGGCTAACATGGTGAAACCCCGTCTCTACTAAAAATACAAAAAAATATTAGCCGAGCGTGGTGATAGGCGCCTGTAATGGCAGCTACTCAGGAGGCTGAGGCAGGAAAATGGTGTGAACCCAGGAGGCAGAGCTTGCAGCGAGCTGAGATCGCTCCACTGAGCTCCAGCCTGGGTGATAGAGGGAGACTCATCTCAAAAAAAAAAAAAGAAAAAGAAAAATTGGTGGGAATAAAACATAACCACTCTGTGTTCATTGGTCATGAAACAAAATTCCCTTCTGCCATTATAATTTAGGAATCATAAGTGGAACAGTTTAATTCAAATGTAGAAAAGTCTTTTATTTTCCTTCCCATGATTCAACCTTAAAATGTTACCTGAGCACTGTCTGTATCACGGATTCCTAATACGTAAGGATTTCCTTCACATATCAACTTCGGTTTAGCTCCAGCACACAGACAGAGTTTCTTATATACATGCTGATTGCCATCTTCTGTTACAATGCACTGTAAATACACCAAACAACGAGAGAAAAGGGGGACACATAATCAACATGGATACAATTTCACTTTAAATTAAAAATTCAATAAGGCAAAAGCAAAACGTTAACATATTAAGGTTGCCTCTTGGTGGCACTCAGTTCTTTGTCATAGCAATTACAAAACTAAGCATGAGAATACATGGACTAATCCAGTTATTCTTAATCATTTTAAGCTCATGAACCATTCTGAGATCTTGTGAAAACCAGTCTTTCTCCCCTGGAATAAAAAGGTACATTCACGCAAAGTTTTACATTAAACTTCAGGGAATCCCATGTTGGTTGAAAAGGTATGTTGACCCCATATTAAAAACAAAACTTCAAGACATTTTTAAATTAAGCTTTCTCATTACACCTGTGACAGGCCTTGATGAAGATTTCTGATCTCAAGGGAAGTTACTGTAAGACAACCCAGTAATTCTAATCATATCATACCTTCGTATCTATTATGAGTACAGAAACGCAGTGAGTGGTGCAAGAAGTTACGGTATATCTTCTTAATCTAAAAAGACTAGGAAGTGCCATTAAAAAAAAAGCAGTATTTATATTCTTAAGTAAAAATAATGACTTCACTAGCAAACAAAATGCTTTTGGGGTATACTTTAGTATAAGTAAAGAACATGATAATCTTCAATCCTAGCATGTATTGGCTTTAAATTTATATTAAGTTTTAATAAAATAAATGGGTCTAAAACTACATATCAGAGATCTAGTGCTTTCGTTCTTTAATACTGAATGAAAAACTACATATAAATAGTAGCCTTTAGAAAACATTTAAACATAATGCATGATACTACAAGAGATGTTCAACTTTGTTTGAATAAGTGCTCATGTTTGTGCCAATTATTTGATTTACAAACCTTGGCAAATTGTATCATAGCACTTAATACCCAACGAGACATTTATAACCCAAATTAACTCTTTAGTTGCAAAACAAACACATAAAACCAGTAATCCAGCATAAGCATAAGCCATATAGAAATTTTATACAAGTCTTCTTTCAGATAATCTCATTAGAATTTTATCTGACAAGAACAAAAGTTAATTATAGGCACTGACAAAACTTAAAAAATAATTTGCATTTAGCTGCTGTAAAAACAAACAGCACAAACACACACAAAAACTCTTTCCATACTGCTAAATTTTTGCCAGGAGATGTGAAAGTAAAACATACTATCTCTAATTCACTAAAATATGTAAAGGACAATTCTCCAGATGGAAGTGAGTGACACACTCTGCATCCTCACCTCACCAGGAAACTACTGAAGTTCCTGGGGAAGCACAATAGCATTTCACAAAAACAAAATGGATGGAGAGAGGCCTGGCGCAGTGGCTCAAGCCTGTAATCCCAGCACTTTGTGAGGCCGAGACGGGGCAGAACACGAGGTCAGGAGATCCAGACCAACTCGGCTAACACGGTGAAATCCCGTCTGTACTAAAAATACAAAAAATTAGCTGGGCATGGTGGAGGGCGCCTGTAGTCCCAGCTACCCGGGAGGCTGAGGCAGGAGAATGGCCTGAACCTGGGAGGCGGAGCTTGCAGTGAGCTGAGATTGCACCACTGCACTCCAGCCTGGACGACAGAGCAAGACTCCGTCTCAAGAAAAAAAAAAAAAAAGAAGGATGGAGAGGAGAAAACCTATGGTGGCTGTTAAGGCCCCGATGCCAAGTATGTGAAATTGATATCATCTGATGGCCATGAATTTACGGTAAAAAGATAACATGCATTAACATCAGACACGATAAAAGCCTTGAGTGGCCCAGGTCAGTTTGCTGAGAATGAAACCAATTAGGTCAATTTTAGAGAGATACCTTCACATGTGCTATCAAAAGTATGCATGTATTTTACATACAAAGTTCGCTACACTAACAGCTCCACCGAGTTCCCAAACTCCCAACTGCACCTGAAACATAGCACTAGAACTGCTGATGGCTGCGAACTTCTTAGATTGTTAAATAAATTATAATAAACTGTTAAAAAAACAAAAATGTAAAGGACAATGGATAAGAGAAGGCAGACATGCACTGCATGTGGGATATTTTTCAAATGGTAATGGGAGGCATTCTGATTCATTCAAATGCCCTAACACATAAATCCCCTCACAAAACATTTAGCATATTTTGAGAGCCCACCTCAAATACAAAATAAATTCACAACGATATTACTTGGAATATGTAATACCACTATAAGTATTAGAAACTTATCTGGTTTGGGGATTCAGATTTTTTATTGTTTCCTGATAAAATTCAGTACTTTTACTTTTTTCTCTGAAATTACTTGTGTTTCAAATGTGGTATCCCTTTAGGGATAAAACACATCTCTAATTTATGGGTTAGACCTCATAAATTAGAACTGCCTTATACAAACAACTACAAACCTACTTCTTATCTTGTCTAAAGCTCATCTGAGGATACTGTAAATCATCTAACAACATCCTTTCCTGAGACTGCCTTCTTCATTCTCATGCAAAGGGTTACTGAGTCCTGCTGAATTTATAGTAGAAATCTCACTCAAATCTTGGATATTTTTTACAACTACATTGTCCCTGTCTCAGTTCAGGCCTTACATCATTTTTCAAATCAATTTTTTAAAAAATTGTTTATTCTTTTTGAGACAGTCTCACTCTGTTGCCCAGGCTGGAGTGCAGTGGCACAATCACAGCTAACTGCAGCCTTGAACTCCCAGGCTCAGGTGATCTTCCCACCTCGGTCTCCCAAGTAGCTGGGACCACAAGTGCACGCCACCAGGCCTGATTAATGTTTTGTATGTTTTTTGTAGATGTGGGTTTTTGCTATGTTGCCCAGGCTAGAGTAGAACTTCTAGGCTAAAGCCATCCACTTGCTTTGGCCTCCCAAAGTGCTGGGATTATAGGTGTGAGCCTGTACATAATTTCCTGACCCTTTACATAATATTTGACTATCATAACCACCTTCTAATTTGGTTGGCTACTGGCCACTTGTTCATTCTCAACACTCCTATCAGATCCATCTTCCTTAGAAAAAAAAAATCAATTTTATTATTGATGCCCCAGCTCTTAAAATCACCTTACAATTTCTCCCAAATATAAAACAAACTCAACTTCTTACAGTATGACATTAAAAACCCTTCAAGATCTTATTTACTTAGCTTCTAGCCTTGATTGCCAATCCCCTTTACTTAACCATACCCTAATCCCTTTGACATCTCTATTCTTCATATTTCTTTTCCTTTCTTTGGGTCTTTGTACATTCAACCTCCTCTTCCCGGAATGCCCCTTTCCACCTGGCGAACTCTTAATTTCACTCATCTGTTAATACCCAGCTCATTTTACTCTCTCTGTGAAGTCTTCCTAAATCCCTGATATCAGAGCTTTGATAGTATTTCAGTGACTGTGTTTTTTATATGTCAATATAATTATTGTACGCATGTTCATATTCCCTTTGACACTGACAGTCCCTAGGAGCAGACACCTCGTATTATCCCTACTGCATCCCAGCACCTAATGCAGTAACCAGAACACAGTGGACACTTTATAAACATTAATGTAATTTGAAATGTGAAGACTAAAATCCCAAATCTAATTATATAATTCCAATAAACTTACAAAAACTGTATTTTTTCTAATAATACTAGAAATCAATGTCACTAAACTTTACATATTAAAAACTTACATGGTGGTGGTGGTGGTAGAGCTGGAGTGAAAAGAAGGCAGGCAAAACCTCATCAAGATTCAATAATGGAAAATGTTATTAAGAAAACAATTATCTTACGTGTTCTTCACTCTTCAGTTGCTTTACGCCAGATTCTATAACCTTAATGTTGGGAAAGCGTTTTTCTAACATGGTACTTGATTGTTCTTCAACATCAAATTCTTCCAATATTTTAGAAATCTGTACAGATCAAAGAGATTAAAAATTTATGTTTTTAAAGTATTTTCTTTCAAGAACTTAAATAATAAAAATACTTTGCTTTTATACACTATTTTGTGTTTGTAAAACAAAAAAGTTAGCCAACTGCACTATATAGAGTAGAAAGAGGACTAGATTCAGCATTTAGAGACTTAAATATTTGCTTGGCCGCTCCTGGGCAAGGTAGGTGTTATAAGCCATAGTTTCCCAGCTAATAAAATGAGAACTGACCTGTAAAATGAGCGGTAACACCACTTACATTTCTACAGTTTAGTCAAACAGCTTATTTATTTCCTTATCCTTCAAGCTTTCACTCTCTATTTACTAGCAGACCTTATGGTCATCTAGTCTTTGCACTCTTCCTTCCTGTTCTATAAAACCATCAGTATTCTTCTAGACTCACTTTCCTTTCTGTCCAGTTAAAGTTCAGTTGTGAATCATTTCACCTTTTCCCTAAATCCTTCACTTCCTTGCTCTCTTATCCTAAACTGTTAACCTGAAAATCCCCAACCCTATAAATTATCTACTTGCTCTAGTCCTAAGCCAAGTTTGCTGCAGAAAGACCACGCAGCCTTACAGATTGATATTCAACCTCAGCTGCTCCTTAAAAACTGCATGGAAATCTTACTGCATGGCCTTGACAGTTCTCAAACCTTTTGGTCTCGTGACCCCTCTACGGTCTTACAAATTATGTAAGAACCTACTTCTAGGGTTATCTAAGGATCATATATTTGAAACCTTTAGAAGACTACTTGGTGCATGGTAAGCACTTAATAAACATGAATTATTAGTAGTAATCTTTTTTCTCCTTTAAAAATTATACAAGTCATGAATCATGCTCTTTGTAACACTAAACAAACAATACATAATAGAGAGTAAATGTTAAATTCTCTCTTTATCCCTCTCCAAATCTCATCCATAATCCCTCAGGATAAGCACTAGTGACTTTTTGGTGTTATGTTCTATACTTTTAATCTCTGTATCTTATGTGCCTAGAACATTGGCTTATAATATAGGTACTCAATAAATCATAAGGATAATGCCATTTTCTACTGCTGTACACAGAATAGCTGATATTTGTATATTTGTTATTGGCACATTTAAGCTCCCAACCCTGTGAAATAAGTAAGGAAAGTATTAATACAACAGGAGAAGCAGCTTACAGAGATCTTCCAAGGCTACCCAACCAGTAAATAAGAGGCCTAGAAACCAAGTTTTTTCCTTCTACTGTGCATAACTTACAAAACTGGCAAACACTGAATTCAAGTCTCACAACTCTTGGATGATTATACTGAATTAGGTCTTCTGGAAAGATAATTATGAGACCCAGCTATACATCTTTCTCTTATGTACACAGTCTCAGCCTGCCATTAAATATGTACTTTTACCTTTTAAAGATTAATAGCTATAATTTTTCCTCTATTTCTCCCAAACTCCATAACTCTTTGGCTATACCTAACTAGTAAGATATCATGTGTATCTCTGCTTAGGTTATAAAGGGACAACATGGTATACGCCACTAAACTACCCTTGGTCTTACAGGTTTACAATATGAGAAAAATATATTCCATTATCAGGATATTACAAGAAACATCGTATTAAATGAAGGGCTATGGTAGTAGTCTTCACTGAAGGGTGGGAAGAAAGATAGAACCTACGTTTTTCACCTTTTTATAAATTTTATTTTGCATAGGCTTTATAACATTTATAATTGTAGTTCTGTAGCTCATGCATATAACTTATTAGTATAAATATATTGGGATGTCAAGGCAAAATGTTTTAACAGTTGAGCTACAGGATCAAAAAAGTTTGGAGATGGCTTTTCTATACTATGACCCCACTGTTCTTAGATTCCTATTATAATGTGAATATAAATTAATGGAATACAAAGTATCCCGAGATGCTTATTACATATCTTAAACACCAATTATCTGTAAGTATAAACTTGGCTTGGAAGTACTTTTCTGATTTGTAAACACACATACACATACCCCTACCCATATTTATAATAAATATCTACATGTATATTTGTACCCATTTTAGATTTGCAGAGCATCTTTCCTGGAAAATTTTTATTGGAAACTTACTCAAAAGTAATTCTAAGTGGAAAGAAAATGGAGAAAAAGAATAGAACACTAAAAATTCCGTATAATTCTGGGAGCTTTCGGTATTCTATGTGAATAATTCTCAACTCGAGGTTTTTTCAAATGACTGTCAAAAGAATATTTGTAATTTTAAACAATTAAAACACTACAGAATGCATGGAGGTATTGTCATCAAGATGGCTAAGTAGGAGATACCAACCTTCATTCCCCCATCAAAAACAAACACAACAAAACAAATATAGACAACTATTCACAAGTCAAAATAGCCCAAAGACGGCTCAAGGGCCCATTAAACGATCTGCAGCAACACAGTGGAGCAAGAAAATGGAGAACAGCCACATAATGAGAATCAATAATGACCCTGGCACACCTGAGAAACCAGGAAATGGCTAGGAGCAAAGAAAGGCAGAGGCTATCAGTATCAGTCACATGGTGGGGAGCACTATGGTCCATGGTGGCCTGCACTGCAGAGGAAACTGGCATTCCTTGCTACTGTGACGGATCCAACAACCATTCCTGCCAGGGAACCCCAGAGAGGGAGACATGGCGGCACAGCTTGTCTTCACAAAGAAGTGGCCAATGTCAAGATGCTTTGGGAAAGGAGTCACTTCATCTCTCAACCCCATAGTGTCCCAATCCCAATCCCACATATCAGACACACGGTCTATGGCCTACACTGGGCCCACCTACATCTCAGACACCAGAGCCATCACCATAGTGAGCCAGTGTGCACTTTGGGCCCTGCAACCAAGCCTCACTGCACATGTCTGAAATCCAGGCATTAGCTCAGCCACAGTTGAAAGCAAGGCCCTTCCCTGACACTGAAGCTGCTATAACTTTGAGCACACCTGTGCTCCCATTGCTGGTTTCCCTGGCTGCTTCACAAGCATCCTCACCTCACATTCTATTACCAATACAGCAGTATGGGTACTTGCACTCTAGGCAACAATGTCATTACTGTCCCAGATCCCAGAGCTTTTGTTCCTCCATGTATGCCTGTGTTTTGGGTCTCAGCTCTATCACTGCTCCATAGGTACCACTTATCAGACACCAGTGCTGCCACTGAACCTGAAGGCAGACTCAGTGCCAATTGGGATCCCCTAAGCCACAACTTCCTTGTGATTGGGAGACTCTTAGCAGCCACTGACATTGAAAACCCCAACAACCCTCACTACCACTGCAGATATCCAGAGTTGGATGCTGAGGATCCCTGCAATCTTCAACAATTAACTCAGCTGACAGAGCTGCATGGACCCTCACCGGTGCCAGTACTGCCACATCCTATCCAACAAGCAGCCCTCCCCATAGGGGAAGGTCTTTCCACAGCAAAACTAGCCCATACTTGTGAAAACAGTGAGTGTGTCATCAAATGTGCAAACATCAACATATGGCAACAAGAAACATGATAAACCAAGAAGCCATGCCACCAAAAGAACAGAAAGAAATGACAACAAGAAACATGATAAACCAAGAAGACATGCCACTAAAAGAACACACACACAAAAAAAACCACTGCCTGACAAAGAATTCAAAATAATTGTTTAAAGAAGCTGAAGGAACTTCAAGAAGTTATAAACAAACAATTCAATTAAATCAGGAAAACAACAAGCAACCAAAACAAAAAATTTAAAAAGACAAGTTATTAAAAAACAAAGTAGAAATTTTGGCGATGAAAAATGCAATGGATGAAACAAACAAACAAAAAAATGCAACAGACTATGTCAACAAGAGAACTGATCACACAGAAGAAAAAAACTGTAAATCTAAAGACAGATTATTTGAAAATATACAATCAAAAGGGAAGAAGAAAAAAGAATGAAAATAATGTAAAAATATGGAATTTAAAGGATGGCATCAAAGAAGCAAATCTTTGAGTTATAGGAGTTATAGAAGGAGAAGAGAGAGACAAAGGAGTAGAAAGTGTATTTAAAGAAATAACAATAAAAAACTTTCCGAATCTGGAGAAAGATATAAATATCCAGGAACCAGAAGGTCAAAAGTCTCTAATCAGATTCAATCCAAGTAAGGCTACACCAAGATATATTATAATTAAACTGTCAAAAATCAAAAACAAGGAGAGGGCCATTACAGCAGAAAGAGAAAAGCAAATCACAATAAGGGGGTCTCCAAAAGGCTAACAGCAGATTTCTCAGGAGAAACCTTACAGGCCAGGACAAATTGAAAAAATAACATGATTTGGATGTCTGTCCCTGCCAAATCTCATGTTGAAATGTAATCCCCAGTGTTGAAGGTGGGAGATGGCTGAATTACGGGAGCAGATCCCTCATGGCTTGATGCTGTCCTTGCGATGATGAGTTCTTGCAAGACCTGGTTGTTTATACGTGTGTGGCACCTCCCCTCACACTCTCTCCTTTGCTCCTGCTCTCACGATGCGATACATCTACTCTCTTCGCCTTCCACCGTGATTGTAAGCTTCCTGAGGCTTTATCAGAAGCTGAGCAGATTCCTGGCACCATGCTTCCCATACAGCATGTAGCAATATGAGCCAATTAAACCTCTATTCTTTATAAATCACCCAGCCTCAGGTATTTCTTTATAGCAATGCAAGAAAGGCCTAACACAAATCATATATTCAAAGTGCTGAAGGAACAAAAAACAAAACTGCCAACTAAAAATAGAGTACTTGGCAAAGCTGTCCTTCAGAAATGAAAGTGAGATAAGGACTTTCACAGACAAATAAAAGCTGAGGGGGTTCTTCACCACCAGACTTGTCTTACAAGAAATGCTACAGGGAGTTTTTCAAACTGAAAGAAAAGGACACCAGTTAGTAACATGAAAACATGTGAAAATATAAAAATTAACTGGTAAAAGTAACTACACAGTCAAACTGAGAATACTCTAAAATTGTAATGGTGGTGTGTAAGCCACTTATATGTTTGGCTTACACAAAACTATTAAATAAAGACACAACTATTAAATATAACAATAGCTTCAATAATTTAAGGGATACATAATATGAGGTAAATTGTGGTATCAAAAACATAAAATGTGGTAGAGGAGTAGAGTAAAAGTGTAGAGTTACTTTATGTGGTCATAGTTAAGTAGTTTTCAGCTTAAAATATCCATTATAGCCAGGTGCAGTGGCTCAAGCCTGTAATCCCAGCACTTTGGGAGGCCGAGACGGGAGGATCACGAGGTCAGGAGATCGAGACCATCCTGACTAACACGGTGAAACCCCGTCTCTACTAAAAAATACAAAAAAAAAAAAAACTAGCCGGGCAAGGTGGCAGGCGCCTGTAGTCCCAGCTACTCGAGAGGCTGAGGTAGGAGAATCACGTGAACCCGGGAGGCGAAGCTTGCAGTGAGCTGAGATCCAGCCACTGCACTCTAGCCCAGGCGACAGAGCGAGACTCTGTCTCAAAAAAAAAGAAAAAATATCCGTTATACTTGTTTTACATAGGCCTCATGATAACCACAAAGCAAAAACATACACTAAATACAAAAAGATTAAGGAATCGAAGCTACCACTAGAGAAATGCTGAAGGGAGCTCTTCAAACTGAAAAGCAAGGATACCAATTAGTAATTAGGTATTCAAGTAGGATACCAATAATTTAATTAGAAGGAAGACAGGAAGAGAGAAAAAAGGAATATGGATTTGCAAAACAACTAGAAAACAATTAACAAAAAAAGGCAGCAGTAAGTCTTTACCTATCAACAATTACCTTGAATATCAATGGACTAATTATCAAGTGAAAGAAATAGTGGTTCAATGAATAAACAAACAAGGTCTAACTACATGTTACCTACAAGAAATTTACTTCACCTGTAAGGACACACAGGAAAAGGGAAAGGAGGGAAAAAGATATTTCACGCAAAGAGAAAACAAGAGAGTGGATGTAACTGTATCAGATAAAATAGCCGTTTGTAAAAAACTGTAAAATGAAACAAAAAAGGTCATTACAAAATGGTAAAGAGAACAATTCATTACGAAGATATAACAACTGTAAATATATATGTACCTAACATCAGAGCACCTAAATAATAAAGCAAATATTAACTGATCTGAAGAGAGACACAGTTTGCAGTATAAAAAGAGTAGGGGTGGCTGGGCACGGTGGCTCACACCTGTAATCCCAGCACTTTCGGAGGCCAAGGCATGCGGATCACTTGAGGTCAGGAGTTCAAGACCAGCCTGGCCAACATGGTGAAACTCCATCTCTATCAAAAATACAAAAAAAAATTAGCTAGGCATGGTGGCACACACCTGTAGTCCCAGCAATTCGGGAGGCTGAGGCAGGAGAATCACTTGAATCTGGGAGATGGAGGTTGCAGTAAGCCAAGATCGCACCACTGCACTCCAGCCTTGGTGACACAGCGAGACTCTGTCTCAAAAAATAAAAGAGTAGGGGATTTCAGTACCCCACTTTCAACAATGAAAAGATTATTGGAAATAAAACACTGGATGTGAACTAATGGATTTAACAGACACATACAGAATATTTCACTTAGCAGCAGAGTACACATCCTCTTCAAGTGCACATGGAACATTCAATAAATCACAATAGGTCACAAAACAAGTCTTAACAAATACAAGGATGAAATCATATCAAGCACCTTTTCCCTACCACTATGATATAAAACTAGAAATTAATAACAGGAGAAATTTCAGAAAATTCACAAATATTTAGAAATTAAACAACATTCTCCTAAAGAACCAGTGGGTCAAGAAAGAATTTTTTGATTAAAAATATCTTGAGACTAATGAAAATGGAGGCACAACATACCAAAACCTACAAGATTCAGCAAAAGCAGTTCTAAGAGCAAAGTTTATGGCAATAATCACTTATATCAAAAAAGAAAGATACCAAGTAAATAACTTAAGGTTACATCTCAAGGAACTAGAAAACCAAGAACAAACTAAGCTCAAAATTAGGGAAAGGAAGGAAACAAAGAGCAGAGCAGAAATAAATGAAGTAGAGACTAGAAAAACAATAGAAAAGATCAACAAAACAAAAAGATGTTATTTTGAAAATACAAAAAAATTGAGAAACCTTTAGCTAGACTGAAAAAGAGACAAGACTCAAGTAAATAAAATCAGAAATGAAAGAGGACACTTTACAACTGATACAACAGAAATACAAAGGATCATAAGAAACTATTAGAAATAATTATACTCCAACAAATTGGACAACCTAGAAGAAGTGGATACATACCTACATACAGCCTACCAAGATTAAACCACAAAGAAACAGAAAATCTGAACAGATCAGTAATAAGTAAGGGGATTAAATTAGCAATAATAAGTCTTCCATCAAAGAAAAACCCAAGACCTGATGACTTCACTGCTGAATTCTGTCAAACATTTAAAGAACTAATACCAAGCTTTCTGAAACTCTTCCAAAAAATTGAAGAGGAGGGAAAATTTCCAAACTCATTTTATGAGGCTAGCAGTACCCAATACAAAAGCCAGGTAAGGATACTACAAGAAAAAAAATTACAGGTCAATATCCCTGATGCACATAGATGCAAAAATCTTTAACAAAATACTAACATACTGATTTCAACAACATATTAAAAGTAATCTATTTGCCAGGTGTGGTGGCTCACACTTGTAATCCCAGTACTTTGGGAGGCCGAGGCGGGCGGATCGTGAGGTCAGGAGATCGAGACCATCCTGGCTAATATGGTGAAACCCCATCTCTGCTAAAAAATACAAAAAAGTAGCCGGGCGTTGTGGTGGTCGCCTGTAGTCCCAGCTGCTCAGGAGGCTGAGGCAGGAGAGTGGCGTAAACCCGGGAGGCAGAGCTTGCAATGAGCCGAGATTGCGCCACTGGACTCCAGCTTGGGCAACAGAGCGAGACTCCATCTCAAAAAAGAAACAAAAACAAAAACAAAAAACAAAACAATAACAACAATAAAATACAAATCATCAATTCACCATAATCAAGGGGGATTTATTCAGGGATGCAAACATGGCTTAAAATATGCAAATCAGTAAATGTGATATACCACATTAACAGAACAAAGGACAAAAATCATGACCATCTCTACAGATACAGAAAAAAAATTCAACAAAATTAAACATCTTTTCATAATAAAAGCCCAACAACTAGGTGTAGAAAGAATGTACCTCAACATAAAAATGGTCATACACAAGCCTATAGCTAATACTATATTGAATGGTGAAAAGCTGAAAGGATGCCCACTCTTCAACACTTCTGTTCAACATAGTACTAAAGTCCTAGCTAGATTAAATTAGGTAAGAGAAAGAAATAGAAGGCATCAAAATTGGAAAGATTTTAAATAGCTTGACTTAGCCATTCCACAATGTATACATATATCAAAACATCATGTTGTACAGCATATAATTGTACTTGTCAATTTTTAAGAAAGAAAAAAATAGTTACCCTAATGCTATGCAAGTTAAACTGCAACTTTTTCAAATTAATATTAAGAAGTTATACAAAGGTTCTTACCTGCTTGAAATTCGTAACTGCTTTAATAACAGGAGAAGCTGTTATCAAGAGAATATCTTCTGATGGAAACTGAGTAGCCAACTTATTTTTAAAAAGAGAGAAAAAAAATTAGGACAAATTAAGTACTGGCATATATGGTTTGGGGTTGAGGATGATGCAACTTTAATAATGTAATTAATCTAGAAAATTAAAAACTCACTGCTCCTCATCTAAAGGTCTCCATTATCCCCTATCATGTCCCTATCTACGGGGCAATGGTAAATAATGGTAAACTCTGATACTGATAAAATAATATATTTACAGCAAACACTAACAAAGAACTGCTGAACAAGAAAAGTGATATAAAGAAGTATCCTTTATGGCCAGGCACGGTGGCTCACCCTATAATCCCAGCACTTTGGGAGGCCAAGGCAGGCGGATCACGAGGTCAGGAGATTGAGACCATCCTGGCTAACATAGTGAAACCCCATCTCTACTAAAAAAATATAAAAAATTAGCCGGGCTTGGTGGCGGACGCCTGTAGTCCCAGCTACTTGGGAGGCTGAGGCAGGAGAATGGCGTAAACCCGGGAGGCGGAGCTTGCAGTGAGCCGAGATTGCGCCACTGCACTCCAGCCTGGGCGACACAGCAAGACTCTCCGTATCAAAAAAAAAAAAAAAGAGTATACTTTATTTACTTCAACTATTTTGTATACCAATTTAGAGTTATAATGCAGAGAATTAGAATAAACTATTTTCCTAACAGTTAAACCAACTTATATTCATCTTAAAATAATATTTCATTTGTCTTCAATGGGATGAAATCAAAGCAAACCCTCAATATTAAACACTTAGAATATTGATCTGACTTTCCCCAAGTGCTTTGGCACTCCTATTCTGCCTCTTCCAGTCAGTACATATTGTGGGATGATAAAGCCATTTTAACAATAGCTTCAACAAAATTTAGAGGTATAACTTGTTAATGTTTCATTATTTTCCTTTAGCTATAATCTTTTTCTTCACTCTGTACCTGAAAGCATTTTCTTATCTCAAAGTCTGGTTCCTCCACACCACCACCCTCAATAATCTGTTTTCTATTCCTACTACATCACTAAAACAGCATGTTTGAGGTATCTATGAATCCTTAAAATCCAAGGGATTATTTCTTTTCTTTTCTTTTCTTGTTTTTAATGGAGATGGGATCTTGCCATGTTGCCCGGCCTGGCTTCAAACTCCTGGCCTCATGCAATCCTCTCACCTTGGCCTCCCAAAGTTCTGAAATTACAACTGTGAGCTATCGTGCCCAACACCCATGGGATTCTTCTTAGTCTCATTCTATCTGAACTTTCTATATTTGGCAATATTATTACTCTCTCCATCTTTCTTTCATTTGTATATTCTGTAATTTATCCCCCTGTTTCCATTGCTAGATGAGGTCCTCGAAACTTCTTTATACTACCGAAATCACCTTCAAATTGGCTCCCCGGTTTCACGTATAAACCAGCTGCCTCTGCCACAAATACATTGTAACTAATGATCTTTCAAACTTTTTCACATGATCAAGTTACTCCACCGCTCAAACACATCTGACTACTTGTAAATTCTTCTTAAGTTCTTAGCATGATTTTTATAAGATTCCTTATGATCTATGCTTTAAGCTTTACTGCTCGCTGATGATCCATGCTTTTCCACTGGAGATGACATTCTTTTCTTGAATACTTGAACTTTCACTCATTCTCTCAAAATGAGATTTTAAAAATACCTCCTTCGAGTAAAAAATATTCCTCTTCCCTAATTCACTCCCTACCTACTCCACAGGCACTCCTAAGATAACCGTTGATATCTCTTGCATAGACATACAACATTGTCTCTTCCACTAGGCTGTGGGTCCCTAGTATGGTATACCATGCTGTTCATAGTTGAACACTCAGCCCTTAAATACGGTGCCTGCATCATATATGCTTACTTAGTGAATACATGAAAAATACGCATCCAATAATGAAAACACTTCAGTTTCTTGTACTATTTCTTATGACTTCAGGGATTGCTCATGTTTATATCAACAATAACCTAGAACTTTTTGGAATACACACATGTATATGAATATATACGGTCTTGCTAGGAAAGCATGCCCTACATGCACATAATCCTTCCTGATTGTTTTATAAAACATTACTAGAAATAAAAGTATCTCCTATCTTGGGAGTTCGAAGTATAGAAAACTTACGTATGGGATTCTTTATTAATTAGTTAAGGTGCACTAAAGACTTCGCAAGTATCTGGAAACTAAACTCAGTCACCTATGACAATTAACAAAGGGGGCTGAGGGCCGGGCGCTGTGGCTCAGGCCTGTAATCCCAGCACTTTGTTAGGCGGAAGCAGGCAGACTGCTTGAGCCCAGGAGTTCGAGACCAGCCTGGCCAACATGGTGAAAACTCTTCTCTACTAAAAATACAAACATTAGCCGGGCGTGGTGGCGGGCGCCTGTAATCCCAGCTACTTGCGAGGCTGACGCAAGAGAAGAATCGCTTGAACCCAGGAAGCAAAGGTTGCATTAAGCCAAGATCGCACCACTGCACTCCAGGCTGGGCGACAGAGTGAGACTCTGTCTCAAATAAAAAGGAAAAAAAAAAAAAAAAAGAGGGCTGATTTTTTTGTGTGAATACGAAGTCCTCATGTCTGCTCTGATATTACAAGGATCTGAGCACAGATCTGCCAGCTTTGGTTTCTCGGCAATAATTTGCCTCCCACTCCTCCCTGCGCCTGAGAGAAAGCTAGTGAGGCCATACGAGGACCACCAAGCAGTTTCTAAAATCTGGGAGCAATAAGTGCGAAAAGCGCGCAGCAAAAGAGGAACCCGGAAGAAGAAAAAGGGAGGGGGTGGGAGGAAAGCCTTCAGCGCTACAGGCTTTGGGGTAGGGGAAAGAGGCGGAACCGCCTGAGCACCGCCCTACCTGCTCCGCACAAGTGACGCCCGCGATGCCGCCGCCGACCACCACAAATTTCCCTGCAGTCGCGGGAGGGCGCGCTGCCTCCATGCTGCCGGACTCCCAGTGGTTTACTGAATATCGCGGCGGAGCAGCTGGACTTTGGACTCCAGGAGAGGAAGCAGCCAAGAAGCGGTCACTTCCGGTGCCTTATCCACGTTATCCAACCTACGGGTGCTCGGGAGCTCACACTTAGTCTTCTCGAGTGCGTGCTGCCAGCTGCGTTTCCGAAGCAACGAATTGTTTCGTGATTTTCAGAGCTTTGCGTTAGTATTACTACACCTGAATGTAGTTATTCCATAAAAATTTGACAAAGAGAAGACCAAAAAATAAAAAATAATAAAAAAAAAAGATGGGTTGCCCAAAGAAGTTTGATAAATTACATATCTATAGACCAGTATTCTCAAGGGACAAAGCTTTCATATAATAGATGAATTGGTATGAAGTTCTCATTATTTGTTTCTGAGAGAAATTAGAGGCGTAGATCTCATGCTCTTATTGGCAGAAGGAGCCCCACTTATTGGCAGAATGTCTTATTGGCAGAATGTCTTATTGGCAGAATGACGGCCCCACTTCTGTCATTTTTGTAGATGAAGAAACTGAGTCTTCTGAAAACCACTTCATTGCCACCGTTCACCTAACAATCCAAGATTTTTGTCTGTGGAAGCACAAAAATTCTTCATGACAAGGCAAAACAATACTACTGAATTGTTCTCTAAGAACTTATCCTTTACATTTACAACGTTGACCTCAGCTAAAGTTTCCAGTAATAATGTACAGTTGCTTTCCATTTTGTCAAAACAAATGAACATTTCTTACATTTCCAATCAATAGCAGCATGTTTGAAAGTTGAACGAAACATTCCCAGTCTCCGTTTTATTGTGAATTTTTTTCGTGGTGGTCGATTGTTTTTAAGAAATTGCTAAATTATTTCTAACTGTTTTTACTATATTATTCACTATTCATATTATTTTACTATTGGTAATAGTAAGGTACTATTGTAATGGTAAGGTATTATCTCTCAAATGGCTCACTCTAAAACTAGTAATTACCGGTGTCCCTTTAATTCTTTAAACACTGAGAATAACCATTATATATGAACAGGAAAGCCTACCACGTATCTAATTACAGATAGTTACTGACACCCATAAAAATCATTGTTCTTTGATTTACCAAGTTAAATGGTAAGCGGTTTAATAAACGTGTCTAATTCCTGTTACTAGTATAGCAGCCAAGCAAAGCATTCATTTCGAGGAGGAGGAAATACATTCCTTAAGCCCATTTAGATCTAATCTTGCTTCACCTTATTTTCACATTATCTCCCTCACACTGTGGTCCATTCAGGCCACACTACACTTCCAGATCCCAGGATATGCCAATTTCTTTCTGAGCATTTGCACATACCTTTTTCCCAACTACTTTTCCCTAGCTAACTCATCGACCTTTGGTTTCATCAAGCCATTGCTTCCTCTAAGATACTTTATCTAACATCCTGAAGACAACTAGGTGTCCTCTCTGTGTGTTCCTGTAGCACCTTGTCATCCTCTAAATTTAGACTTATCCCACTTTTTTGTAAATTCTTACTGCCTGACCCCACCACCACCATAAACTCCTTACTTAATCTCAGGGATTATTTTTGTCTCCCTTTGTATCTCCAATGTTTAGTAGGTAGTATATATTCAATAAAAATGTGCTGAATGAAGTAGAAAGTTGGTGCAGTATGAAACTGCCTTGAAGTCCTTCTAAAGACTTCTAGATTCATTGTTCAGGGTCAAGATCCTCCTGTATATTGTGAAAGGGGTTTCCTCTTTACAGAATTCAGTCGGAAGGAAGAATAGAGTGGAATTTAAGCTCCCAGGGGAAATGGAGGGAGATCATTGTCTATGGGAGGGGAAGCAAAGTGGCAGGAGCCTCCTCAAATGTAACGGAGTAATGACTCCACACTCTCCTTTTTTGTTCCGCTTTTGAAGGCTGGCTTTTTGTCAAGGTGGTGTAGGGATAAGACCTACCTGCCTGCCACACTGGCATGAATATCCAACTTTTAGAAATGTCTAAGAGTTAAAGAACTTTCAGTACATCTCACCTTAATGTTGATTAAATTAGATACATATACTGGATGTAGGATGGGTTAAAAGTAAGATATAGGTAACTTGAAACATGTTATCCACAGGGAGGGCAGCAATAGGTACAGGTTAGGGGAAGGGCAACTGCAAAGAAAACTGGGCACCTACAAATAAGGGAGGCCCAATGCCAAGAAGCAACAGAGAAGCAGAAAAGACAGAACTTCAGATCCCTTTTAGCTCTGGTCAGCAAGCTTAGGAGTGAAGAGCATATCCACCTGGTGACTGTTTCTGAGGAGTCAAAGAAATACCAGTGTGTTGCTAAATATTATGGTGTATGTTTATGGGTGGAAAAGAATAGCAGGACTGGAGTTGGCAAAGAAAGGTTCAGAGAAGAAGTGGAACTTACATTGAACCTGAAAGGCCAATAGCATTTGGATAGGTTCAGAAGAAGACGTGGCAAGTCATGTAGGAAATATCCCAAGAACCAAAGGCTTAGTAGCAGGAATGAGCATGGGAAATACAGGAGATGGTTAAAAGGGAAGAAAGAAAGAAAAGTGGTTGGGGAGTTCAAGATTCATCTGGAAAAACTGAAGGAGATAAAGCTATCTTCTTCTATTTCCCTCCATAGTGTTCTTACATCTGACTCCCATACCCGCCTAATCTCTTGAAGGCCATTCCAACTTTTAAACTACCATCAAAATCTAGTTTTCCATTCTTCTTCAAGTTGATATCAGAAATGTCTAGAATAGGAGTATTGAGGTTAATTTTGAACTGCAAAAATTGGGAATGAATAATGACACTTCATAGAGTAGTTAAAGATTAATAGCTTTTGAGTCAGATGACCTGGGTTCAAATGTGGCACCAGCATTTCTTTGTTGTGTGACTATTCAGTGAATTATTTACCTCATCTGAACCCTAGTTTCCTCATTGGCAAGGTGGGTATAAGATCTACTTTGTAGAGTTGCTTTGATACAAATGTGAGGTGACATATTTAAACTTCCTAGCACAGTGCGTGCCTCTTAGTAGGATTAATGGTTGTCTGCCTGTGCCCTGTTGAATAGACTATGTTTCTCTGTCTAAAGGATTTTATCTATGGTCATAACCTTGACAAACCTATTATGCTTTGAACTCCCAGATGTCTATCTCTCATGTAATCTACTCTGAATCTTCAAGTCTGAAATTTCTGAAGCATCTTGGATATCTTCTCATTGTTATCTTGGTTTTTGCCAATTCACTGTGAGTACAGCCTAGATTCATCTTGCCCTCGAAACCACTTCTTTGTTTTTAATAGTTCATGTAACTGATTTACTGAACAAGCAGGACTATATAGGGAAGAAATTAAAGCAAGCATTTTTAGTTCTCGATAATTTTCCTGTGAATGTATTTTTCTTCTCCAAATTAAATGCTTATTAATTTAGCTTATCTGATCATTCTCAGGTAATAAAAAGTCTGGTACTACGTGTTATCAAAACTCCACACACACATCCAATTAAAGCCTCACCTAACTACAGGCAACGCTAAATGATTTATTGTTGCTTTCTTGCTCCAGCTCTTCTCCTAACTAAGACCTCTTAACTTACCCTATAATATTTAGCAACACACTGGTATTTCTTTGACTCCTCAGAAACAGTCACCAGGTTGATATGCTCTTCACTCCTAAGCTTGCTGACCAGAGATAAAGGGATCTGAAGTTCTGTCTTTTCTGCTTCTCTGCTGCTTCTTAGTTAGGGGCTTTAAAATTGGAGGGTGGGTAAGGAGTAAGGAGAGGAAAGAGCCTCACTGTTGTTCCTGTATGAGCATAGATATGCAAACTTACCCACAAAGGCTGAGGGAGCTGAGAGGCCAAAGAAAAGCTGACAAATCCTGTTTCTTAGAAAGAGATATTTAATAGGGACTTACAAACAGAAATGATGATTCTGTTAAAGTAGATCCCCACATCTGCCCTCCAGAAAATACGTAAGGTTTTAGGATAAAACATGTACAGCTGATCTTATCTCAGACTTTCTTGCACAACTCATGAATACTGGGGAGTCTAGATAAGAGTCTTACTGAGGTAATTATTTATGCTACATGCTTTGTTTCTTTTGAAGGGTTATCTATGCTATGGGCATTGTTTAAGGACCTTGCTGCAGAATACCTTAGTATGTAGGAATCAAACATCAGTCATCATGGCCGTGGTGTCACTCTTGCTATACCACAGGCTGTCTTCCTGTATCTATGAATTAGTGGTGTAGTACAACTGTGAATCTGTGAGAGCTGATTGTTAAAATTTTAGGATTTGTGTGAGTTGATTGTTAGCACAGCTATTGTTAAACACTAAACTGTATAAACATAATCACATAAATTATATTAAGACAAAGGTAGTAAGTATTCAAAACTCATTATTTCCTAACTCTTTTGCTATTATCTCTACTCTTGAGGTTATTTACATCTATTGTACCTATAGGTAAAAATATAATGGTGGGCTGCTACACATTTCTTCCTACTGCCTCATTCAGTGATGTCATGTTGATAGCTTGAAATTGGCCATAATGGGAGTATTTACACCATGGAAAATGGCAGATTATACAAATCAGAGTTTGATTTATTTTATTGTTGATTTTTTAGACTTAAAAAAGTGGTGGACAATAGCAATGACATGGAATCAACCCAAATGCCCATCAATGATAGATGGGTTAAAGACAATGTGGTACATATACACTATGGAATACTATGCAGCCATAAAAAGGAATCAAATTATGTCCTTTGCAGGGATATGGATGGATCTGGAGGCCATTATCCTTAGAAAACTAACACAGGAACAGAAAACCAAATACCATTATGTTCTCACTTATAAGTGGAAGCTAAATAATGAGAACAGCATGGATACATAGAGGGAAGCAACACACACTGGGCCTATCTGAGGGTGGAGGCGGGAGGAGGGAGAGGATCAGGAAAAATAATTAACAGATACTGGGCTTAATACCTGGGTGATGAAATAATCAGTACAACGAACTCTCATGACTCATATTTATCTATGTAACAAATCTTCACATCCTGTACATGTACCCCTGAACTTAAAAGTTAAACAAAGAGACATAACATAGATGGAGACTCATTTTTAAAAAGTGATGGAGAGAA